CCTAGTCTACACAATCGTGGCCAGCCTCATGCTCCGCGGCCAATCCTCGATCGACTTCCAGCCACTAGCCCCACCGGCAGTTGGTGAACATATCCGGGAGCGCCACACCCCTGACTAAAGGATAAATTGATATAGCTGAATCTGGCAAGTTTGATCGAGTATCCCATGCATGTTAGCGTTCAACGCCGCAGGCATGCCAGGATTGTGTACCTCTCACTTTACTGTTCTCGATAGTCATGATGTCGCTTCGAATTACGTATGCTCGGTGGAGTAGGTCGGGAAAACCATGGAGTAGTGTCGCTGTTGTTTTGTCCGGCTGTGTATAAAGACGTTGGCGTGCTCTCCAATCACTCAGCAGTCGCACAGTGAATTGACCACTGCTAATCAACATGCGATACTCTTCAGCCGCCGCACTCCTCTGTTCTTTGGCAGGCTCCGCCAATGGCCTGCCTGCACCTGCACCCCAGGCGTCAGGAGCCTCTGGCCCTACGGTACCAGGTCCTGTTGATCCTTCGCAGGTCCTCAATATGCCACTACCTTCTGGAGCATCAGGTTCTCTGCGTGGTTCAGAGGACTATCTAGGGTACAATCCTTCGAATCCAGTCGACATGAAGTCCACCGTTATTCCACCCGAAGACTTCGAACTAGCACCTGGACAATCAGAGGACGCAAAATTGGGATTGTATATTGATCTCTCTAATGTGAAGAACCCGCAGCCGATCCGCGGAGGTACTACAGGACCTACGGAGCCTGGTCCTCGGTAAGTTCGCCGAATCGTCATGAATAGAGTCATCTGATTCCATTGCAGCACACCGGCCTATGATCGCTTGAACAGCGATGTATACGCTCCGCCATCTTCCGACATGGGCGAGGTAAGCAACGCCAAATGGCCATTCGGTCTCAGCCACAACCGCCACGGCCTCGCCGGAGCAGGATGGGCACGATCGCAGAACACCGACCAACTACCGTCCTCGGTCGCAATGGCCGGGACAAACATGCGACTGAGTCCGCACGCGTACCGTGAGCTGCACTGGCACAAGCAAGGTGAATGGGCGTTGATGTACATACCACCCCTTTACCTTGCACGCCTACCCAAGCTAACAACATGCTCAGGCTCAACGGCAGCGTACGCATAGCCTCGATGAACGAAGCCGGCCAAACCTTTGTCGACGACGTCCAAGAAGGCGACGTCTGGTTCTTCCCTCCCGGCATCCCGCACTCGATCCAAGCCTTTGAAAACGGCTGTGAATTCCTGCTCATCTTCAACGACGGCTCCTTCAGCGAGGAAAACACGTTCCTCCTCTCTGAACTCATGCTGCGCAACCCAGAAAGCGTGATAGCAAAAAATTTCCGCACATCAGTCAAGACATTTGAAAACATTCCTCAAGAGCAGCTCTGGATCTTCCCTGGTACCCCCGCGCCCAAGAACATTTCAGAGCAGAATGTCACGGGGCCCGCTGGCGTGATTCCAAAGGAGGGCGCGTATACTTACCATTGGAGCCAGCAGGAACCCGTAAAAGTACCCGGTGGTAGTATCAAGATCCTCGACCCGGCGACCTTCCCCATCGCGAGCACTTTTTCCGCTGCGCTCATCACCGTCGAACCCGGCGCGATGCGCGAACTGCACTGGCACACCACGTCGGACGAGTGGTCGTACTTTCTGTCCGGAACCGCACGCCTGACCGTGTACGAAGCGCCTGCTGCGTCGCGCACGTTTGATTTCTCGGCGGGAGATGTCGGATACGTGCCCGTGCCTAATGCGCATTATCTCGAGAACACAGGTAACGAGACGTTGGTGTACCTCGAGGTGCTGCAATCGACGCAATACAGTGATATCAGCGTGAACCAGTGGCTGGGTATCACGCCGAGGCAGATTGTCAAGGATCATTTGAATGTTGACGATGCGTTTTTGGACACGCTGGGCGAGAGGAGGAGTAAGGATTTTGTGGTCCAGGGAAATCCGGATTTGACTACGACTGATTTTACGCCTGGCCTGCATGGTGGTGCTTAAGGTGATACCACGTCTAGCTACATCATTCCTAAGCTGCAGTATCTTCCTGTCGGACCGCCACAGCATCCCCCGAGCAAAATCCTCTTCGCAAGGCGTCGTGGGGATAATCCTTGATGCGACAACATGGCGTCATCTTCATCTGTCCACTGCTTTATTGCCCTTGATCTCGCGATGGTGTGGAAGGAGTGGGAGAGTAGACCATCAGGGCATATTTAGATCTGCGCGTAGTCATATAGCGATTCTACCTCAACATCTAACCTGTTGTAACAAACATAACCAAGCTTGCCTTTCTTATTCGCCCCGGAAAAAAAGGATTCTCACCTCACCCCAACCTTTCCCCACACAGCTCTATTGCCACATCTGCCGTCGCGCCATCAAAAAAGTCATTAAGTATAACCACGACACTCTCCTCCCTCGTCAACTTCTTCCCCATATCGCCCCTCAGCAGCGGCAGTATCTTGCCATCACACACTGGCTTCGTCGCGAGGATCGGACTCGTACTCACATCGCTATCCAGCACGCTAGCAATGATGACATCTCTAATGTTCGTCGCTGTAGCCTGGCACTGCAGCAGCGTGATGGGGTGGCCCTTTGGCGGGTCCTCGGCCATGTCCGATAGTTTAGCAACCATGGAGTCGCCAGTCAACGTCGCATTAGCAGCGTCGTCGTAATTCGAAACCTGCGCGCAGTCTTTTAGAAGAATGAGGCGGGTGTGGCTCGCGCGCAGGTCGTGAATAGATTGCCGCATCATGGCGTCCTGGTTGCCTACTTTGAGCTCTTTGCCCGCGAGGAGCGGCGTGAGTACGCTGAGTAATTCTTCGTCGGTGGGGCGCGGACAGTCTGCTGGTACACCGTCCCATCTGTTGTGCACGACGATGATCTCGTCCTTGTGCTCGTCCAGGAAACGGATGATGTGGTCGAGTAATACGCGATACGGCATACCGGGTATGGCGCCGTGTTGGAAATACCACGTATCCTCGAGGGAACTCACCTTTTGCATCTGGCGATGGCACTTTGCGGGGCGAAATTCAAAGTATCGTGCGCCGATCTTGAGAATGGTGTCGAGCGTGTCCTTTTGCGTTATGGCTAGTGCGCGGATAATGTCTGGTGCGATGCGGTTTATGGCGCCGTCGCCGACTTTGTTGATGACGGATAGGGCGTGGGGAAGGCTGCGGCCGAGGACTTCTTTGATGACGCCTGTACCTGCGTTCTTGAGGAGGGAGAGGCTGCTGGACATGTTGTTCATTCCAATGTCGTGAGAAGACGGTAGAACCATTCTGTGGAATGGACGGTGTGATTTCTCTGAGCCTTGTGGGATGACATCGCGCATCCAGTTCTCGTAGTTTTTGCTAACAGTGACATAACACTGATGTTGTTTTGGCAGCTCCGCCAACCCTGGTCCAGCGTCGTAGAATCCATAGGTGATGATGAGATCGTTGGCGAAGATGCTAGGTGTTTGATCCATGTTTACCATCGTGCCATCTTCTAGCTTGCCTGTCATGCTGTTGATTGCAACCCATTGTTTTGTGAGTTCTTGACCGTGCTGGCGAACGATGAATTCGAAATTTCCCGTGAACTTGAAATGAGGCAGGTTGGATGACTCTACTTCAAGGTGGTCGTGGAGGAATAGACGCTGAGAGCTGAGCTTGACGCTTTGTTTTGGTACTGTGTACTCAATCTCCACCCCGTCAACGGCGATGTAAGTGAAGCACCTCACGCCCTTGGAAGGCATGTTGGATTATGTGTTCTCCTCGTTCCAGCCGTGTAGTAGGTGCACTGGTAGTACTAGTGCATGGGGAGTCAAGACCCTGGCGACTCTATTACAGTCGGTGAGATGTGTATAGCATCTTGAGTGAACGCAGTGATGCGGGGCAGCATCTCACATAATATGCAGCCGGCGATCTGCCAGCCACGCGTTTTCAGCTCTGTCTAGACTCTGCGGGTCGTTAGCGGTGGCTTAGCTGTGGTGTTGAAGTGGAGGATTCCGCTGCATGAACCAATGAGACGCGCCAGCCGGGCCGATGCCAATCTGGTAAAGCTCGTCGATTGCTAGCAACAGTTTCTGTTCATGACAAGGGCGCTAGCAACAAGCAAGTTGGGAGTTGTAGCAGCCTTGGTTCTTTAATCGTGTTTCCATTCTTCAAGTCTTAAACAGAATGGGTGATTACCGAGTTGCTCATGGACCACAACCCTCAGGCCTGTAATGTACCATCGCCAGTCTGATCATATTGACTCGATGGACATCAGGTCGAGATATGTAAGGATCAGACTGGAACAATCAGACGAGAAAATTCTATGCGACTGTTCCTGCGTCGATACAGTTTGATGCCCTGCGGATCAGGCCGGTAGCCAAGGCGACACACCTTGTACACATCTCATGATCGACCGGGATGAACCGTAGTGCAAGGTGTCGTAAGGTTTGTATCTTCCGAGTTCACCTTTGGAGACTAGACACCGTCATCGTGTACGACTAAGCCGACTTCAGGCTATATTGGACAGACAGGTGAAAAGGAAAGACAATCGTTGACCGGTGACCGGGAGCTTCGGGCCCGTTGTTCACCAGAGATGCAGGCGAAGATGCATCTTCCTGTTGGATCTACAGCCTCAACATGGTCATATGTGCACCGAAAGTCTGGAAGACCCAATTATCTTGCAGGAGAATAGCCAAGTGGGGTGTAAGAGAGTCGAGGTGAAACATGCCATGCGTTTCAGTGATGCTTGGTTGCTGCTGGCAAGGTGTTGGTGGGGCAATGAGCTGTTGCCCCTCCTTGCCGCAAGCACCTCGCAGGTCCCTTCTAGAACAAGTAGTTCGATACAATTAACGTACGTTGTCCCCGATTGATCGCTTGCCTCTCCCCATCTAACGCTGAAGTTGCAATTGCAGATTCGAGCAATCAGTCAATCAATCAACGCCACAAACAATTCGTGTAAAGTCGATACGTTTTATACCCCTCCACACCCCGAGCTATCACAACACATCGTCGTCATCATGGTCGAGCGCACGAACAAGCCCTCAGCGTTGAACGCGCCCACGCCTTCAGCGCCCGGCCCACAAGTCGACATTGTCGGAGAGGGTGGTAGCCAAAAGGTCGTGGCAAGGTTGCCGTCTGGCGAGAGCATCGAGGTGCTGCTCTTTGGAGCTACCGTTACTAGCTGGAAGAGCAACGGCGGACAGACTGAGAACCTCTGGCTGAGCGATGCGGCTGACGTGACCGGCAAGAAGCCTGTACGAGGTGGCATCCCCGTCGTATTCCCCGTCTTCGGTCCTCCGCCCAAGGACGGACACGCCACGTCGTCGCTCCCCCAACATGGCTTTGCTCGTGCATCGCGCTGGGAGTACATGGGCAAGTCGACTGCCGAAGATGCTCTCGACTCCAACTCGGTCAAGCTCGACTTTGGCCTCGACCGTCAATCGCTCAGCGACGAGTCGCGCAAGGCATGGCCGTTGGACTTTGGACTCGTATACAGCGTCACACTTAGCAAGGACAGCCTACAGGCTGTCCTCACAGTCCGCAACGAAGGCGAGGAGAGCTTCGAGTTCCAGTTCCTGCTCCATACGTACTTCAGGATTCAAGATGTGTCTAAGATTGCCATCACGGGCCTGTCTGGCACCGAGTACATTGACAAAGTGCTCAATGCTTCTACGCACACACAGAGCGACAACCAGCTCAAGATCACAGGCGAGACGGACCGCGTGTACAAGGACATCAAGCAGGATACGACATCGATTACTGAAGACGGCAAGCCTCGCTTTGACGTGATCCGCGACAACGTCAAGGACACGGTCACGTGGAACCCGTGGATCGAGAAGGCCAAGGCCATGGGCGACTTCTCCCCAGACGACGGCTACAAGAACATGGTGTGCGTTGAGATTGGTGCTGTCGATGGGTGGCAGAGGCTGGAGAAGGGCGAGGTGTGGGAGGGTGGCATGTTGGTCAAGAGCCACTTGTAGGGAGGAGAGACACTGAAGAGGGAGAGAGAGAGATTGTGTGATAGACTAGAGCAAATACTCGAAATTAATGCGTGAGTCTGGCCGCTTGATGTTGTGCACTTTGTTTGCGCTGAGACCCTTGCCAGCTGGGTCGCCCTTGCCGTCCCACAACTCCCCGCCAAAACTTGCGCGCGCCGCCCAAACAAGAGACGACTCCATGACAACAGTCAGCGCTACCTGAGGGACAGTGTCATGCTACTTGTACACGACAATCGCGACGCAGCTCGCAACGCCTTCAGTCACCGTCTGTGGGCCATCGACTGAGGTCCCTGCCAATATCTCTATACCTCTACAGCTTCCCCGCACCGCGCGAGGTGCTACGACTGCACACATCACAGGTAACTAGGTGGAGACGGCTACGTCAGCCGTTGTTTGCATAGGCGAAAATCTGCAGCACATTGCCAGATAGTCAAAGGCGTTGCGCCGTCCTCTGAAGCTGGCGGCCAGGCCGACGTCGCAAGTCGCACCAACATGTCGCTGATTCCCTACGCCCCAGCCGAGTCGCGCGAGATTGTACTGTAGGTACCCATGGCAGTCTGATGAGTAGGAGGGCAGTTACGAGCAGAGGCTAACGGCTACAGTCGCCATGGTTCCGCCGTCGTCGTCTACGACCAGCGCTCGAAACAACTCTCCCTCCGCGATGCCTCCCACGCGACCGACATTGGCTCCACGTCATGCCCTTACTGCCACCGACCCTACCGCGAACCGTCGCCGCATTCGGAACACGACAGCGAAGAGCCAGAGCATGCCGTGCCAGGCATCCCCGCGGAAAATGGCTTCGTCAATCCCGCCTACTTCCAAATGCTGCGCCGGAGCCAGCCAGGCTCAACAGAGCCGTCGCGACCCTCTTCACCACACAAACAACTGGCGCCGGCACCCATGCGCATGAGCAGCTTCCAAGCACCAGAAGGAACCGAGTTTGTGGGGAGCACACCGGTGCAGCCTGCTAGGAGCCAGGGCATCTCCGCTCGGGCCTTTAGTCCAAACTATTTCAAAGACTTCTTTGTAGAAGAGCGGGAGCTGGGCAGGGGCGGCAAGGGCGTGGTTCTACTGGTGCAGCATGTTCTCGATGGCGTACATCTGGGCAAGTTCGCATGCAAGCGCGTGCCGGTGGGCGACGACCATGAATGGCTAGAGAAGGTGTTGATAGAAGTGCAACTACTCCAGACCTTGTCCCACCAGAACCTAGTGTCCTACCGCCACGTGTGGTTAGAAGACTTCCAGATATCCAGCTTCGGACCGAGCGTGCCTTGCGCTTTCATACTGCAACAGTACTGCAACGGCGGCGATCTCCATAGCTATATCCTCGACTCGGCCAAAACTTCCATCACAAAGGAGCAGATGAAGGAGCGACTGCGGCGGAGGTCCAAGGGTCAGTTGGAGGATCCAGAGGATGTGCATGGTCCGCGTCGCATGCACTTTGAAGAGATTATTTCCTTCTTCAAAGACATTACGTCTGGACTGAGCCACCTGCACGCCAACGGCTATATCCACCGGGACCTGAAACCCAGTAATTGTCTGCTCCATCGAACTGGCCGCAAAGTCAAAGTCCTAGTCAGCGACTTTGGAGAAGTACAGTCAGCATCCGGAACCAGGAATTCTACGGGAGCGACTGGAACGATTTCGTATTGCGCGCCAGAAGTGCTGAGGCAAGAGAGACCGGGTGGTGCGTTTGGCAACTTTACCACGAAGAGTGATATCTTTTCGCTTGGCATGATTGTCTACTTTATGTGTTTTGCGCGACTTCCGTATCGGAATGCGGATGGTGTGGATGAGGACAACGAGGATCTAGACCAGTTGCGTGCTGAGATATCGACTTGGGCGGGCATCGACGACGAACAACGCGTTCGATCGGATTTGCCTGAGAAGTTGTACAGGAGTCTGAAGAGGCTTCTTGCTATCAACCCTGACGAACGGCCTGGCGCAGAAGAGATTTTACACGTACTAAAGTCGCCTCTAGTTTTCGACGAGTACAATGCATCCACATACCCCGCTCCATCTGGTCTGGACGAGTTCAGTCCGCGGATCTCAAGAGCTGACACACCCAGCCCATCGCCAACCCAGGGCAACAAGAAGAGCAGGGGGGTAAATTACACACGGCCAGGACGATCCCATCTTAGTGCTACCGTCGTGGATCGGTCACCTAGTCCGCCGCGTCCAGAGTTCATGAGGAGACAGTCATCAGAAGATGGAGCCGTCATTCTGAGGAGAGGAAGCAAGTTGGACTTTCCACCACCGCAGCCTTCTGGAGGGAGAGCGTCGAGTCCGCAACGGTTGATGTTACCTCCACCACTACCACCCACGACATCAGCAAGGTTCTACAGACATGTCAAGGATCCTGCGGCTGTCAATGCGGCCAAGATTGTGCTGTTTTGCGCAAAGGCTTACAGCCTGCTTTCTCCTTGTCAGCCTTTTGCAGCAGATGCGCGAGTACTGTACCCGTTACTTTGCATGGCGTCACTCGACTTCTTCCGTGTTGGCGGGTTGGGTGGGTTGGGCCGCTCGGTTCTGCTTTTGTGCGCGCATTTGGTGGTGGTGGGTGTGACTTGGAGAGTGGATAGGCTGTGTGCTGGGACGAGTGTGGCTTGGGATGGAATGTAGCGACGACTGGGCGTGACTTTCTTCCTGCTGCTGTTGTTGTGGGTATCAGGAAGACATGTTCTATGATCCGTCTCTGTGGTGTTCGAAAAAGGCGCAAAAGACATGGGGTGGCTTGGACTTGATGCATTTGAACTTGTGATACCTCTGTAGTACTGATTTTGCGCAATAAAATAGTTGAAGATATGCTCATGGTTCAAAGCATACGTCGGAGGATCTTAGTTCCAATTGCTAGGAAGCGTATATGAAAGAGAGAAGACTATATCATCATGGTCTTGTACCGTAATTCCTAACATCGCCGTGCTTGCATTTTGGCAGCATTACCATCGTAGCAGTATATTCATTTTGCTTGGTACGAGAGCGCGTCGGTGGCTGGAGTGGGGCCAGGGTTCGCTAGCTTTGTTTTGGAGTAAACACGCCGACCCGCTCCATCTTCCACACTGAATCATCGCACTTTCCCACACAACGCGCCCCATCATACTCGGGCTAGGAATCTTTTTTGTCTTTCTTGGAGGTAATGATACAGCTGAAGTAGATCTTTACAAAGCATCCTTTCGAGATAGCCTATTTACGTACGTGTTTGACACGCGACGCGCATCCCACGATTTGAGATTGCCTGCGCGGCCTCAGGATTCCAACACGCAACATGCAGTCCTCTCCTCCCATGAGCGAAGGGAAAGCGCGCGCTATCAGAGAACTCTCACGCAGTCTCAGTCACAGCCCCAGAAATATCACATCGCCCTCACCACCACCCAGCGACTCGAATCCCACGCAGCGGTCGGGTTTCGGCACCAACACGTCTCAATTCTTTGACGACCCAGACATTCTCATGTCCACACAACACAACATCGCGGAAGACACCAACACACTACCGGGATACCCACGGATTCGTTCAACCGCGAAGAAGATGAACACTTGGGCTCCATTTCGTTCCGAGCAGGTCCAGCCCGACACGTCCATGGTCAACAAGGAGTTTGGCGACTTTGACCACAGCATCTCCGACGAGGAGAGCATGGCCATCGAGCAGGCGCGAGGTAACCGCAGCAACCGCGGCACCCCCAGCAAGATGAGCTCCCAGTTCAACAGCCTCTACGACATCACACCCCCCACCAACAGATCGCGTAAATCATACCAGGCAGACACTGGCAGCCTTCGACGCGACGCGGCTATCCGACGCGCCTCGCGCAACGACCTGGACTACACTGCATCGCCGCGTCCTGCAAGCAAGCGCAATTCTCCCGCTCTCTCCACAAAGGAAAGCCGCAAGAGCACTTCACTTGCACAGCTGCACGCAAAGCTCTCCGAAGACGAGTCATCGTTCATGGAGCATCGACCACCAACACTGACCATGGAGTCGACCAAGAACACGCGCTGGGGTAACAGGAGCCGACAGACTTCTCTCCAAACCGACGGCATTGCCGATGCTCTTCCACAGCCAAAGGCTACACCTCGCTCAAGGCCTGCTACAGCACAGAACGCGACTGCGCAGTCCTTCATCTTGCCCGACCTTCCCAACCTCACCGAGCTCGTCTCTGGCGTGTTTGACGATGGCACACCCGTCTTTTCCAAGACTGCACCATCACGGTCACGTTTTGCGGCTCCACCGTACGGCGGTCGCCGACCATCGCATATTCCCATCGATGGGGCGCCTATACCTGATGAGGAAAAGGCCATCTTCGCTGCTCTCCAGCAGCTGCAGGAGAAGATTGCGGACATGGAGCGCGAGCGTGAAGACAAGGACAAGAAGATTGATGAGCAAGAGCTGGAGTTGATCGAGCTGAGAGCGACTACGCAAGCCCAGGAGAAGCTCCGACGAAGCGACAGCGCGCAAGACTCTGACGCTGGCGGGAAAAGCGGCTGGAAGGTCGAAAAGACACGTAAGTTGCCACTCCTCCTGTCTGTTCCTCTCTGCACAATATGATGTCGAATGTTATCATTCAGTTATCCCTGTCTGAAAACTATTGTTGAAAACTTACTATTCTGATTTGCGTCTACTATCACACTCCTCCAAAACACATAAGTTCCAGGACTTTACTGACAACGAGCAGGTCTTGACGCGACTGTACAGACCCTTCGAACGAAGCTCGATCGCGCCGACCGCAAATCCGCCGTCCTCGAGATCGAGAAGAAACGTCTGAGCACCGAACGGGATAACATGGCCCATCAGCTGGGTGTCGCGTTCCAGACTTGCGAGGAGCTCAAGATCGAGAAGAATGCCTTGACCAAGGAAAACGATGAACTCCGCCAGGAAATTGACACCCTTCGTGCCGAGAACGAATCTCTGCGCGATCAACTCGAACAAGACTTGTCCCACCACCGAGAAGAGACGACCCAGCTCCGCCAACAGTTTGACCAAGCCGCAAACGCAACTCAGAGGGAGAACGCGAACCTGCACGCAGAGTTGGCTCGCGTGCGCGCTCAACAGGACGAAAACACTCAGCAATTGACTCGCAGAGACATGGAGCTGCGCAAGGCACGTCAAGAACACGCCGAGTACGCGAGATTGAAGTCCGACCATGAGTTACTCAAGGCCCAGGTTGAGGAACTGAAGAGGAAGCGCGAAGAGGATGTCAAGCGCTGGGAGAGGCAGGAAGAGAGTTTAAGAGGAAAGGTTGGGAGGCGGGACGATACTATTCGGCTGTTTGAGGATACGACGACTCAAGAGCGTACAAATGAAGCTATGCGTCTAGACAACGAGAATCTCCGAAACGAACTCCGAGAACTCCAAGCTCAGCAAGACGAGGAGAATGAGGAGTGGGCGAGGAGAGAGGCGGAACTACAGCGCAAGATTCGACAGCGTGAGATTGCTGCAAGGAAAGCTAGGGTAGAGAACGATACCGAGCACATCTTCGAAGACAAGCCTAGCTATCGCCGCGAAGATACACGGACGCGAATAAGGAGTCGCGTTCAGCAGGAGGTCCGTAACAGCAAAGTTGCCAATCAGGAAAGCCCACGGAAGTCGTTCACCGGACATTCGAGGTTCTCAACTCGCAGCTTTTCTGCACCTGTCCCAGCCGATAAGCATGCGCGCGCAGAGAGCGATGTGGAATCGACCACCGATCTCTCTCTTGCGCCACGCGCCACTCTACGTATCTCGCGGAACCCGGCTTCTTCTACTAGGCAGACGACGATGACGGTTCAACCCCCCACTGATCTGAGCCTCACGGAACTGAGCTTCTTCCCCCAGGAGGAAATCGCGCGGTTGAGGCGCGAGCTGGAGGAACAGCGTGCGAATGAGCGGGCTGGTAAAACTCAAACTGGAGAGCAAATGAGGGAAGACACTGTGAGGAGTCAGCGACAGACTCGCGAGGATACAGGGCGGTCCGTGGCAAGTGCAAAGAGCACATCGCATTCACGTCGACCCTCTCTTGTACGCAAGTCTAGCCTCAAAGACACCACACAGCGCACCGCCACCACGCACTTTGACGAAGACACAGGCAAGCTGTCCCATGCAGACACCGCCGCCGACGACGCGGATGCCGAAGCAACGCAAACTCGCCAGTCAGCCATGTCTGATGCGTCGATGCTCAGCAACACTGGAAGGCGAAGGCGGAGTGCGCCCGCCACGGAAATGACAAGTGCGTTTATCCTACCGGATATCAAACTTGCTTCTTCCACTACTACCGGAGTGAAAACACACACTACTACTGCTGCTACTACTACCACCAAGCTCGTCATCAGCAAGGAACACGACAATGATAATTGTACCGTGTGTCGCCGCGAGGGTTACACGACGGCTACTGCTGCTCTCGTCGTGCCCAAGTTGGTTAAAGTGTCGGAACGCATGTCAGCCGACGAAGCAGATGATGCTACGATGCGGCCTGCGCAATCTCCTAGAGAGGCTCTTGCTACGGTTGTCAAGGGACTCAATGATGAGCGCATACACTTGACTGCCGAACTAGCCGTCCAGCAAGCTATGCTGAGCGAGCACGATCCTAGCCTAGGTGCTCGCCGCCGCGCGGCTATCGACGTTAGTATTCAAGATTTGATGCGTAGGTTGTCTTGGTTAGACCAGCAGATTTATAGGCTGCATGATGTGCTTGAGGGACAGGAAGATGTTAGTGAGGAGGAGGTTGAAGAGCTTACTCAAGCTGTTAATACGGCTGCTGCTGCTGCTCCTGCTCAGAAGGAGAAGAAGAAGGTTACTATTCGAAGCTTTGTGTCTGAACATGAAGTCTCGGACTGTGGCGATCATCACGGTGAGGATGGAGGTGATGAGAGTGTCGAGTTTAGAAGAGGTGGTCGAGGCAAGACAGATGAGGAGAGTGAGGATGAGTTGCCGTGGGAGGGGTTTGGGGATAATGAGGAGAGTTTGGGCATGGAGGGGGATGTTAGTTTTAATGCGCTCGCGGGGTGGAGGGGTGCACATTAGATCAGGAAGGAAGGATTCCTGGGTGAAGAAGGATTGTTTTTTGTTTTGTTTTGGATGGATGGATGGATGGATATGGTCGGGGTACACTTTTGCATTGTTACGGGTGTTTTGGGTCATTAGGTTTCGGGACGTTGGGTATAGGGTATAGGGCATCGGCGTTCTTTTTCTTTAGTCCTCTTCTGGTCGTGGGACGTCAGGGTTTTTCTTCTGCTTGGCATGATGGTTTTCGAGGCTCTCTCTTTCTCGTTACACAGTATCTTGGCTCGTTGACATGCCCACTGTACTCTTGGTTCTTTTTCGGCTAGAGACCTTGACTCACCCTTTCTTTGGGTTCGAGTTGGTCTCGCTGGAGGGATTGGGAAGTGTGGTTAGTGGTTTGGGTAGATTGGCGGGATGCTAGGTATATGGATGGAAGTTGAGGTAGTATATCTAGTCTAAGGAAGTTCAAACCAAGAGAAGCAAATCTTTCTTTATGAACATTTTTTGACTTGAATTGCTTATGTGCTGCTTGTTGCTTTACACTCATATGCTGGATGGTGACTGAAACGTATTCCAAAACATTTTCGGCAATGTAGTCCAATACCGATGCTTGCCAGAAGTTCTCTCCACAGACTACATCCCACAGCCTATTTTTTCACCCCGCTTCTTATGTCACTCCCGGCAGATCCTATCAATCCTCTTAGTCAGCGAGACCATGGGTAAGATTTCATTTTCGTCTTACCATGAGTATATTCGATCAGATTAGTCTGACACGGCGCCACACCCAATCTTCCCCCAAGGGCTCAAGAGCCGATCGATGTGGGCGAAGCACGAATGAACCTACGCGCTCGGCAGTCACTTGATCTGCCTTCCAGCAAACGACAAGCACGAAGATCGATTCGTACATCTCCCCATGATGTAACCCACAGCACAATGTTAAGCATGACCATATACCTCTACATACACCTTCGTGTAAGTGATCACGACACCAGGCATTGATCGATGCCGTATTTGAATCAACATGTGTGAGTTGAGGTTCTGTGACCAAGAAGCCAGAAATTTCCAATCCGTCATGTGTGACTGAGAAGCTAATGGATGGTATTTCATGCACTTCGAACTGGATCAGTGTAACGGTATCGAGCTCCCGTTGAACGCTTTCCTCGTGAAGCGTGGAAGACATGACTAACTTTCCAGAAGTGGACTCGAGATGTGTGTGCCGCAAACAAGATCGGAATATCCTGTCATTGATGGTGGCTCTCCAGAACGTCACCGGTCCGCTCCACCCGGCCCAGGTCCATGAGGGAAATGTGGATCGTCGCTCGTGACACGAGCTGGAAAAGAATTCGGGTGCATGCCATGCAGGTGCATGCCACGCTAGCGCAGCAGTGACAGTGCCTTCAAGTAAATCCCATTGCGAGGTAATTGATTGTTTCCCAGGTTGTTTGAAGAACGGAAGGCCGCAAAGATGATGAGCAGTCGGCCGTGACCGCCGTAGATGGTTCATGATGCCTAAAAATGCATCCAGAGTATCGGCTTTTTTGGTGATTTTTCGTTTACTGTAATGATTCAATAAATTTGGGAGCTCTTTCCAGTCCCACTCTGACGACCTCAGAGGTGCTATACTATCGTAGAAACCCTCGAAATCATGATGTGCGTTTGTTTGGTGTTGGAGGATTGAGTCAGAGTCTATAGTTCCACGACCTTCTTCCCAACGACTGGATACGTAGTAGAACAGTGTCTGATGCTCCGTAAACATCAACAAACGAGTACTCAAGAGCCCTTCCTGGAATTTCCTATGGTCACGAGATGTCAGTTTACCTGGTATCACGATTACATGGTTGTATTTATCTTACCATGCTCGAGTGAACCATTTTGTCTCTTTGACTTCACGATCTGGGCGGGGCCCGTTCGAGAAAACGACAACATCCCCTATGTGAACGATCTTTCTATCTTTACGTTTCGTAGACGCAACGCCTGGTAGACCATATATTTTGCTGTCACCAGCTGCGGCTACGATGGTAAGGTCTGCCCCTCGATAGATCTGATCCATGCTGCCAATTTGTTCCTGTCGGTGATTGTCGTCTCTTTGGTCAATACAGTACTCGTTGACCCATAGGTAACGATATCCTAACTGCAAAGTGACGCGGATACCATCCTTGATCGTCTCGGGAGTCTTGAACGATACACCCGACCCTTCGCGATAACCCTGGCAATCCTCTACTTGGGCATCTATGCCCCACACGTAACTCAGAGCGATCCACCGCATTCCTTGCACAGCTTTGGCAATGATCATGTTCTCGCAGTCTATCAGATTCATGCCGGGAATTTGCGCTAAGTCTTGTTTGCACACAGCTCTGTGACTCCTGAGGCAAGTGTCCAACCATAAGCGTGCTTTGGCGCAGTCTCAGTCTTCCTGTACATGTTGAGGACGATGCGAACCCTGCGGACTGACGCTCGCTCGGTTACAGAATACCGGTCGTTTATATGGTTCAGATGGATTATAGATGTTATCGAAAGGATCGTAGGGATCGAAAGGAGGTATCCGCAGACCTATCATCAGTAAGACAGAATCTCGGTCATAAACGTCGGTCTTCGCGGCCCAGCGATAGTTGTTCTTAAGCGAATATGATCGCAGCTCGAATCTTCTCTGTTTATCTTCTGCAGAGATGTCCTGAAACATCAGACAGCAGAGATGACAACTTTCGGAGTATCGCATGTCGTAGGGCTTGATGTATGGTGACGGCTGCGCCCATGTCCCCATGTACTCTTGCTGGGGATTTTGAAGCAGGTCATCAAAATCGATATTGCGACACGTTTCACAGATTTCCTTGTCATCTACAAAGGCCACATCCGTAGATCCAAACTGTAGACAGTCAGTGATTTCCCGAATGTTGGTCCGATACCGTGGTTGATACTAGGTTCAACTGCTTAGACGCAGAGGCAGCCTGCTCTGACATGCTCGCTGACAAGGCTGCGGATTGTATGTGGTTGCTATCTTAAATTATGACATGCGCCGATCTAATCAATGTAGTGTGATTCGTGTGATGTATGAATGAAGTGAATGATACAGAAACTGTAAGCAAGCGTGAGGTGGGCAGGCGTCGTTGTCGAGGGCAGAAGGCTGGGACCTGCAGTCGCTGCCTCAAATGCAGCTCGCTTACGATAACCATTGTTGGAGTGGCAAAGGCGATAAGCCGATCTCGGCAAGGACTGTAGGTCTAGCTGCTGATTTGCACCAGCAAATGTGATTGTGCCACTTGCACAAACAGCCCTCTGAGGTTGTCGTTAAGCGACAGCCGCGCTCATGAAATTACGTGGTCATTTAGGAGGACATGACCATTGTATGGAAGGTGGGTTTCAGGATTCCTCTCATCGATGCAAGCTTGTACACTTGAAACCTAAGCGATAGGAGATGTGAGATGCAACACGAACATAGGTGTGAGACGAAAGCATGTCACTTGGATTCTAGGGCTATCATTCTACGCAAGAGTCATCTAAGACCAGATACAAGATGTTCATATCCGATACGCTATGTAACATCTGTCGCGCGTCAACTAAGAAATGCTATACTTGCATCTGTCAATCTATCATTCTTTGCGAAATTTTCCGAATTCTTTCGACTCCAATCCTTTGTTCTGTCTACTGTATCGGAGTCAGCGTATTGTTTGTTCCACTCCGTCAGAGTATTATTCAGTTCTCGTGTTTGCGGATGACTATCGCCCAGAAGATCCTGCGACGCCTTGACAGTTTCTCTCAGTAGTTTACATGCTCTCTGGTATTGTTCAAGCGCTTTGCAAGTCAGTGCGAGATTGAACGCACTTGCCACGAATCGATCATCAGTACCCTGGTCTCTTCTCAGCTCGCTATACAGCTCGTTTTGCAGCTTCTCTGCTTTCTGGTATTGCTCCATCTCGTAGAAGCATGTTGCTAGGTTGGACTTTACTTGGAAGGCTAGGATACGTTCGTGACTCTTACTGTTCGTACTTTTGTTCTCGCGGCTACTGATAGTCGAGAGTAGCGACTCGTATTTCTCTTCGGCTTTTGTTATATTCCCTGATGCTTGCTCAATCTGAGCTAAGTCGTTAAGGGAACTTTGTGTCAAATGGTGGTTGCTTCCCAGATGTTGAGATCGGTGTTCGACCACAGCCATTTGTTCGATTCTAGAGCTGTCGAACAATGCATTTTTCTGCTCGATCGACGCGTCGTTCTTCTCAGTCAGCGCTCTGTCAAGCTGAACTAAAGCAAGCCGAGCTCGACTGCGGATAACAACGGCGTGATCCCCGGGTTCAGTTCTCGTTGGATTAAATATACGCCTTTGATCTTCGATGACCTTAGCAAGGTAATCCTCTGCCTCTTTGTAACGATGCAGAGAATGATAGATCCCAGCAAGCGTGTAGCGCGAAAGCACGGTCATAGGATGAAGAGCACCCAATAGAAACTCTTGAGCTCGTAAGACGGACTCTTGCTCCTTCAATGCTTCTTGCCATTTCGACAAACGAAGCAGAATGACAGAGAATTGATGCCTGGAGAGCAGATAGTCTGGATGGTCTGTTCCCAGAGTATTACGTCGTTGTTCAACGACATGCGTAATGACTTTCCGGGCGTCTAAGAACTTCCCACTGAGCCGATGGTTCACAGCCAAATCGTGCTCAATAGCGACAGTGTATTGATGGAATTTGCCCAGTCTCCGATCGCAGATGTCGTGAATTGACTCCAATAAAGCCTCTGAGAACGCAAGATTTGCATCATCTCGTACTTGTTCGCATAGCGCAACGCACTGCATCGTTTGAACTAACGATGGGTATACCCTGACAGGGTCTGGACCTGCTGTAGGATCGAAAGGTCCTAGTGGTAGTTTATGCAGCTTATCTCGAACGTACTTTGACTTGTGGAGGATATGTCTCAGGTCGTTGGGAGAGATCTGTTCTCCAGAGAGTTCCTGCGTTTGATCATGCTCGCTGTAAGAGTCCTTCTCCTCGTCACTGCTGAACTTGTGCAACTGTTCCAGCAGTATGTTGGTGGCGAGATCACGAGCTTCATCCCATTTCCCAACCTCCCGAAGTATATTTGCCAGGGTGAGTCTCTGGAGATAGGTCGCCTTTTCATCTTTGACAACCTCTCTCTGATATTCTTCAGCTTCCCTCCATGCTCCTACAGCAAGCAGTACCTCAGCAAGTATGGTTTTTGACTTGAGTGTTTGCGGATGTGCATGCCCAAGTTCTTTGTTAGCCTCACATTTGGCGAGAAGATAGCGTGCGGTTGTCTCTGCATCCGAGTATCGGCCGTCATTCTTGTAAGCCAGCACCAGAGTCTGTACAGTCTGTAATGTTGACGGATGATCTTCTCCCAACCGCTCCCTCATTTGACGCAACGTTTGCTGAACCTCCTCTCCCGCCCCCGATGTGTTGCTCATAACAACTGACAACCAGGCCCGGAGGCTAGCAGCGTCGAGAGTGATGAAATGTTTTGGTCCCCAGCGCTTCTGCAAGTTGCTCAGAGCCGCTTTGTTCTTCTCGGCAGCTTCTTTATATCTTCCAATTTCGCACAACACACGGGCGTGATTGACGTTGTAAATGATGGTTTGCGTCTCTGGCAGCTCGTTTCGGTCGAGCTTACCTGATTCACCTCCTATCGCCTTATTACTGTCTTCGAGAGCTCGCTTGAACGATCCAGCCGATGCCAAAATGAGTGCTCGCGTGCTAAGAAGTGCTTTGTTCCCTTTTCTTTCGTCTGGATCCTTATCAACACAGCCCTGAATCGTCGCCTTGGCCTCGGTGTATTTGCCCTGCTTCCACTGCGAGAGTGCTAGCCATTTTGCCGTCTTACATATCAAGGCCTCGTCGAAAAAGTTGTCGACCATGTCGTTAAGAGCTTTAAAGTCTTGTTCTGATTCCCTATGACCACCTTGGAACCATCTGATCTGGGCAATATGGAGTCTTATCCCGAAGACTATACTGTTTGGGGGGTTAATAGGTCCATATAGGACGAGGAGGTTCTTGTACAGCTGGTCTGCTTCATCAAGATCGCCCTTTCTGTAGTACCATCCCGCAAGAGTCTGACCACGCTGCAGTGATTCCGTGTCTAATGATTTATGTGATTTATCCATTGAGATCTCTCCACTGTTCCCAGAAGTGTTGCGTGAGGCGTGAGACACCCACACATGTTCTTTCTTGTAGGGGCTATCTTTTAGACTCTCTCCGACATCGTTGAGTCTCTGTACATCCTTCTCACGTATGCTGGATAATTTAGGCGTTCTTTGAGATGCTTCCTGTATTGATTGAACTATAGCAGTTGGATCCGTGGTACTGCCCAAAACCTGTGAGAGGCTTGTTTCAAGAACGGTACCAGATCTGCCAGAAGATAGACTTGATATGGGGTGGGTAGGACTATCGCGAGTCGTAGATGCGGATCCATGATAAGGGATAGAACATGCTACATCATCAGGCTTTCGTCTTTCGATAGGAGGTCCTCGAAGCGCGATTGAGGGTCTTCGATTGAGAATCCATTGAGCTGATGAAGTGCTGCTAGGTCTTGACTTCCATATGGACATAGCCGGTCTCGACTCAGGCGAACTTGCTGATGCTTGCTTGAGAAATCCTATTATATCGTGAAGCTCCGATTCATTTATACTCACAAGCATAGTGCCGGTATGTTCAGATGATCCTGTGGATGAAGTGCTTTCGTCAGAGTCTTTAGTGCCTCTTCTCACAGCTTGCTGAGTAACCTACGTGCCTGTCAGAGATTACGACTCGAAAGAAACAAGCGAATTGCCCACTCTTGTGCCAGAACATGAGATCATCTTAGTCTGCACGTGCTGACCCAGCTGTTTCTGCCTGGAATCGAATTTCGACATCGTGCTGTCTATTGCTGGGAAGTCGAGCTTCACATCAGGTTTGAGATTTGCTTCCCGTCTATTGAGATGCTTCGCAAGGTCTTGCGAGAAAAAATCCCATTCATCCTGGTTCCACTGACCGCATGCAGGTTGGTGAGGTAGTCCAAAGAACACAATCCCTACAGGAACCTCGAGATCGCTTTGGCTGTACGGCATCTGTACCATCGCGCTTTGAACAGTCCAGACTGAGCTATTATGTGCTATAATCACTACTTTGGTACCCTTTGGAAATCAGTCAGACCTGTGTTACGATCATAGCGCCACGACTTACACATTTCTCTTTGATGTTAGTCAGAAGCTCCTGACCTTTGCGTTCCAGTTTCTCCTTTCCTTTGTGAAGTACTCTCGATGCGTCATAACCATATACGTGGGCTCGGCATCCCTCAAGCTTTTCGGTTATCGTCTTTGCACTCCTGTGGAGACTCCTCTCGAGCCTGTTCGTGATGCGATCGCGGCGATTTCGACACCCGTGTACGAGTACGATGCTGTAATGCGTGAACAACAAGCAAGTGAAGTTGGGTACAAAGCATACTCTAGGTCTGAAAATGCTCGTCGAGCATTAGGTGTTGATGGATAGGTCGACCAAGGAGGAAATATGTTTCTACCGGGCAGTGGCAGTGGGGAACCTAATCGGTGGTGCTTGGTCATATCGATCGCTACCTGGATATAGACACCGAAGTGTAGGCTCAGTGGCCTGAGAACGTAATCGGTTGTCCAACAGAGGAAGTCTCGAAACGAGTATGGTTACTTTTTGAGAAGGAAGAACGCGTAATTTGCGCGAGTGGGCAGGCAAACTCTCATATGCTTTGTTACCGCCAAGCTCAGCCCCCGATCAGCTGCGGCAACACAGCCCCCCACCTCTTTCTCCCTCGATCCTTCTACGCGCCTCAACACCTCATGTCGCCTCATCATGCTTACCAAGGCAACGAAATCGTGTGAGTAATACTTGGTGATTATCCTGTAGTGCCTCAAAATCAGTCGCTGCTCCTGTGAAGTGATGCAATCTCGTTGGTGTTGGTGCGGGCAGCGCCCGTCGCAATAACACTCCAATGTCTAGACTCAGCTGCGCGTCGACCCGACCACCCACACAGGCTGCGACTCCTTGCGACTGCAGCCAGATGCGCCGCTCTCGAGATCTCGCCCCAATGAGCAACATGGCGGTCACCATAAGCGATAGCCCCAGTTCAAGCCAAAGATTACAGCTCGTGGGACATCCTTGGTACAGCCGAATCTTCTAGCCAATGACAAATTTCATCAACCACACCATTCTGCCGGCCATCGCGCGATTGAAGTGCACGACCGCAGCCATCGTAAGCGAGCACGGAGGCTCTACCTCATAGAGAGGAGAAGGCTGAAAACATGGACTCATGCAAATCGTACATATACGGCCAAATTGCGATCGTCCTTGCCACCCGCCAACATTCACACACGAGTCTTCAACTGTCCAAGATGGATCACCTTGGCCTGAGATTACCCGAAGGAGCCGTTCCTGAATACCATGGCAATACCTACGACGGCACTTGCTCGTTTCAGGAGTTCCCTAACCAACAAGGCTGGAAACTTAACACGTCTACCGGAAGAGTCACACCCAGTCAGGAGTCGATAATTACATTTCCAGGGGACTTAACCATGAGGTATTCAACATTCATGCAGTCGTGGCTGTTCTTCGGGCTGATTGCAGCTGTGGTGTTTGACGAAGACGCCCCAAAATTCAAGCCCCAGCTCAAGCTGCTTGTTGCCGAGGAAGAAGACAATGTGATCACCAAATGCTTGCCACAAATTCTACAAGACTGGAGAATCAGGGAGATGAATTCCGACAACGCTCGTGGCCGGAAGATGCGAATGATTCGTGCCCAGCTCACCCTGGACTTGGCCCGGAAGGTTGTCAATACCAACTGCTCGCTAGAGAATCTGGGAGGCAACAATGAGAAACGGTCTCCACTGCATCTGGCACCGGAACTTGCTTTATCCTTGATGATCATCGGAGAGACCTTGACGAACGCAAAAGCGAATATCATCAAACAGACTGGTTTTCATGTACGGGGTTGGTACGGAGATACGGAAGAGGGTTGGGGAACACCCGAGGCCGTGACTAGGTGGATGAAACAGGATCATTGGTGCCCAAGACTGATCAAACTTCTCCGAACTCAGCTGCGATATAACGCTACCGCCTTGTTGGGTGTTTATGCATCGCATGTAGGCGTCGTATCATTCGAAGGTCACGGTGCCTGCAACGAAGTCGATGACTGCAAGGTTACATCTCAAGATCCCCTAAACAGCAAGGAATACGCGACCAAACATCATCCTCAATGCACAGATGGAAAGGGAACCAGTGCTTGCCAGATGCGCGGTGTAGACATGAGAAATGTTATCGCACTCATCACTGCGGGCAAGATTCCTTTGCTGAGGTTGCAGTCATCTACCGAAAGCGAACAGCTTCAACTGGAACTAACCGACGACACCCTATCTCCCGAATACGCTACAATCTCACATGTATGGTCAGATGGCTATGGCAACGAAAATGATAACATGTTGTATGACTGTCAGCTACAATACTTTCACGACCTACTGAAATGGGCCCAGAGGTCGCGCATGCCACACAAGAGAGGCCAGGCATGGAAAAACGCGAAACCACTCCCATTTTGGATAGATACCCTTGTGATCCCTGTGGGAAAGTCAGAAGAGCAAAAAGTTGCTCGGACCAAGGCTATCGCTCAGATTCATAACGTTTTTTCGAAGGCGAAGTACACTATTGTTATCGACAATGGACTGGGCGACATGACTTGGGATGACAGAGACTACACAACGACTGCTATGCGGATCTTGGCAAGTGGTTGGATGCGTCGGCTTTGGACATTACAAGAAGCATTTCTCAGCCGAAAATTGTTGTTCGCTTTCAAAAAAAGTGGCCAAGATGCTCTTCCACTGGTTGACCTTGACATCATCGAGGACCTCTACAATGACACCGAAACAGAATTGATCTCAAACCTTCCAGCAACAGCCCAGATTTATTATAACAATCTTCTCGGGCCGGATCGTAAAGCACGCATACACAGACTTACGTCCACGAACGGCGTGGGTCTCATTGCTAGTGTTTGGAAAGCAGCACAATGGAGGGTACGTACGAAGTCTGCAATGGTCTTGATTTACACTTGAACTGACTGGGACGCGCATTCCAGACAACAAGCCACAAAGAGCACGAAACACTAGCACTTGCGACACTTTTAAACCTCAAGTCCGAAAAGACTTCGTACAAAAAAAATCCATTCGAACACAACGATCCGAGATACAAGGCTTTACTTGAAGATATGATGGTGACCTTTTGGAAGGTTCTCGAAGAAAATTCTCCCGGTGCCATACCCCCCGGCATAATATTCCTTCCGGGCGACCGCATCAGGAAGATCGGGTTCGGCTGGGCGCCCACAACATGGATGTCTGCCCACGGTGTCGATCATCCTGATCCTATATCCCTCATCTCGAGACCTGCAACGCTCGCACCAAACGACTACGGTCTTTCAGTTGAGTATCCTGGCTTCCTTCTCCACTGTATCAAAAGGGACAATGTATTGAGACCAGCCGATGGAGGAGGATTTTGGTTTCCAAGCGACAATACATTGACTGAGTGGTACCACGCGGAGTTCGCGAGCACGGACTATAGTCCAAACAGGGGTATCATAAACGAGACTCGTAGCGAAGATCTTGCAATAATTCTATGCAGGCCAAGACCGCGTCATAGAGCTGAGATCGGTCTGCTCGTTGAGATCCACAAGACGGTCAAGCAGCGCGAGCTAGGCAAGGATGACGTGAAACGCATCTTCGCTGTGTACATCCGACATAGAATCACTCTCAAACGTGAACTATCCGATGAAAAGATACAGGAAAAGAGGAACGAGATTCTACAAAGTCGGTTACCCAATATTCAATCCAAGATAATATGTGGTGAAGTCCTTGAGGAAGATCAACGATGGTACGTCGACTGCCGCATCACTTCAGTAGAGGAAGGCAATGGGGAGGAAGCGCAGTCAACGTCGGAAGTTCCGCAAACACAACCCTCACGTACAAGAAACAGTCCGTTCGGCAATAGAGGAGCGGCAGAGACAGGTGTGCAAGGTGAATCAGAGAGAGGAACATCAACAGCTGGAACAGAAGCAGATTTGAGCGACGATGCAAGGACAATCGATGTACCTGTTACTCCGATTGGTATGGTAGCTAGCGTGCATTCGCGTGCTGCATCACCAACTACGACAGATCTCGATAAAGTTCAGGTCATAGGAACCAGCGATCCGAGACTAGAAGTCGACCCACCCATCAATGCACCCAACAGAACGCCGACATCTGTTTCTAATCAACATCGGAAATTTAGTTTGAAGAAACTGCTGTTTCGTTGACAAACAAGCATAATCCTCCAGGCATTTCCCTGGCGCACCTTTGTTGCATGTCTGTCGAGCATGCGATGTTACATTTTTAATACATGTGCAAGTTATTCACGATAAAAGAAAGCATTGTTCCCCCAAAGTGGGTGTGGTCGAGTCTCGACCGGTCGTTGCATCGTTGTGGTGACCATCGCACCCATGCATGCATATCAGGCGATTATCTCGCCAAAAATGCAGCGGAGCTGAGCGAATTACAATGTGGCGGCGCCACGGGCGCAACACGAGGCGTATCAAGGCGCGCAGGGCGCAGAGCTGAGCTTCAGCCTGATGACGCTTACCCCTCACAAAACAACCCTCATGGCCGGTCGAAAGATCTTGCGACCGTATCCATCAACCCAAAGCAAGAAATACTAACTATATTTAATCATGTCGGCTTCCAACAATTTTTCTACCGTCTCGCAATTGTCTGCGCAGTGGACGAATCCTAGCGATGTTTTATCACTTCTGCTTATCATTGGCGGTGACATCGTTCAAACTGCCCTTGCGCAAACCGCCGGAGGTTGGATAACGCCAGTATGCTTCTCATTCGGATGGGTTGCGTACTCTTTCAGCACTGTTATTCGTGTACTTGGTGATGGACGCTTACTGCCTGTGCCAGACTACCCAGTCAAGGTCTTCAACCTCAAGTCTTCATACATGCGAGAGAACAGAAACTGGGTGCTCGGACGCATCTTACGAGACAACGAGGTTTTTATGAATAAACATGAACCAGACGCTGCATATGGCATCCGCATATCCATCTACGTGGCTGAAAAGAGGAAATCTCGTTCAGCTCCGATCCACATGTCGGAACTATGCTGGCTGATGGTCACCTTAGTACAACTTGGAGTCGCAGCTATCCCGTTAGCAATAGATGGTGAATGGGGTATCTTTCTCGTCACGAGCACCGGCATCGCTGCGGCGTTTCTCGCAGGTCAACTACCACAATGGAGAATCGAGAAGCTACCGTTCAAACAGGATAGCCAAAAGCACATAGCACTCACAAGTGGCAATGGCTCCCGAGAGATCATGATCATCTACGGTGCTGGAAACTGCCTGGATCTGGAAGAGTTAGCAGCAGGAGAGAGTCCACGCTCTGATCGTGCTTGGAAGAAAAGTCACGTCCTGTCACGTCCCGTGAAAGACAAAGGCGGGAAAGGATTGAAGCACCAGGATGAAAGTACGGCACGAAGAACGATTATGTGGCAAGGACTACCTGCCGGTCTCTGGATCACTCGTCTCGCGTCTTTCTGCCAGATCGTCTTCTGGGTGGCGTTGCTTATTACCGTCGCAGGTTTAAGATCGCACAGTTGGTATCTCGTCGTCGTCGGGTCTTTAGGCATGTTGCAGAACGCTATGCTTGGAGCTGTAGCACGGAAGCCAGAGCGACGTGATCTACCTCTTCGTCATGTTGACACAATCGCGACGCGGAAGGTCATGGATGGCCTCATGGATTTGGAAGCCACTATCGGCGGTGCTGGGGTCCGTTTACTTGACGAATTCTTTCCTGGATTCCTTACTGAGAAAGAAATTCAGTGGTGGGCTGGCGGGGATCGAAATATATATGACAACGAGCGTGTGAGGGATCGCACACGAGGTGAGCCACGCTCACGTCTAGAGCCACGGGAATTGGGAATACCGGACGTTGATCTGAATGGGAGGGGACAGATGTACAGCAGAACATCGACATGGAACACGATGCCTGATGCAGCTGAAGAAGTAGAAATGCAGGCGATGCCTGCGCGCACGCATGCCACGATCCCTGGGGCGCAACGGAACAGCAATATTGAGGTTCAGCGGCAGATATCGACAAGTAAGCCACAGGTCTACACGGCGGCGAAAAAACTGGATTCCTCAATGGATACAATCTCATCGCCGGAGTGGACCTGAGAGCTCCCAAGCTATCTTAGTGCTATCTTGGTTGAAAGCGCATCGCGCGACTATTTGTTTTACACCTTACTAAAGGTCCTAAGGTGACCGACTCTCCTGCCGCCGTATGCGCAAACTATTTGGCATGTCTCCCTCAAATACACCGGTGGTATTTTTCCATATGCTTGGCTTCGATCCTGTAGCTTGCTCCTCTGCTGGTACATCTTCTTCAGACATCCCATCTTCGGAATCATATTCATCCTGTCCCAGGATTTTAGGATCGACATGCATAATCCATCTGACTTCATCGGCCGGCGGGACATCTGGTTTTGGTAGATGAGACAAAGGTGTGTCAGGTGGTGGTCCGGACGATGGCATCTGCTTAGGTTCGATCGGCGTTAAGCGTAGTGGTTGAAACTTGCGGAGCGAACAGAGTACTGGAATGATAGGTGATGGTTTGCTTTCCGCGGGCTGTACCTCTACACTAGGGCTTCTTGCTATAGATGGTTCGGGCGATGTTGGAAGCGAATCTGGTGCTTGCCTTGGATGATCCAAAGGCTGAGTCGATTGTGTTGGCGTAGTAGCACTCGACTCAGACATGAGAACTGAGCTTCTACAATCTCTTCGCCGAGCTCTCCGATCAGATCTGTCTTGGACAACGACACGGTCGACGTATTGGTCTACGGATTTTTTGAGTTGTAATAGGGGTTGTGTCTCTGGGGTAAAAGCCTGATCTTTTATGTTCCTTTGGTGTATTCCAACTTCTACCACTGCTTCCTGCATATCTATGTCGATCTTGTCTTGTTGAGCACAGCGGCTACGACTGTGGGAAATTAGCATAGTCCTCATCGACGTTATCTGACAACCTACACTTTCTTTTCCACCACCTCAATACGTCTCTCCACTGCCATGCCGTACGTCGACTCAATGCGTTGTATTTCGGTTAGAGGCAACGCAGATCTGAGATGAGCTAGCTCCTCATTCTGCTTTCTGATAACACTAATATTTGTAAAAGCCACGATGCTCTGCCTCGCAACGCTGAGCGAGGCTCGTAAATACTTGATGGTACTCGTGCTCTTCCTCCATATGACGTAGACAGTAAACCTTTCGCCCAAGGAATAATCGTACTTTAGATCCTTGTCAATTGCCTGCACTTGATGGCGCAGACTATTGAACTGTTTCATTAAGTTTTTGGTATAATATATCAAATCGCGCTTCACTTTCGAAGTGTCCGTTGTAGGAGACAGATCTCCATCCAGTACGTCGAGAAAAGGGTCGAATATTCCGACGAATAGATCTTTTTCCATGACGAGATTCCGAAGTTCGGGTTACGCATTTTCGAAAGACTGGACAGTTTTTCGAAGGAAGTTGACCGCTCCACCAATTGCTACCGGCAGCCCGATTACCCCGATGGCGAGACTCACGGGGTCCATTTTTAAATGCTATTTTTTCTTTTCGTGGCTTTGGTAAAGATCCTTGAATCATCCAAGATGCTGAAAGACTGTGGAAATATACAGACAACGAGATCGTGCGGAAACACAAAGAAGGACAACGAAATTTGCCATACCTGCATATTGACCGGTGAACTGATGGTTTTATTGAAATTGCAAGCGTCTGCCAACCAGCGCTCATTGGCACTCACCATCTTCGACGTCTGCATGCACTGCAAGCGGGGTAACAACCTCGCCTCGCTGCAGGCGTACTTGTCGTATCGCGATCCCTGAGTAAATCATAGGCACCACCTCATGATTTGATGGTTATTGCAAGCTGCACTATGCTTTCGCAGTGCAATCCCCCCAGTATTTGGGCAAAGCACTGGTACGACTGTGTGGTTGTAAACAGCTTTGATGAAAGGCACCCTACCGGCGCTCTGAGGCAGACTCAAGATACCGGTCAAAAAGAAAAGATCATCGCTTTTACACGACGATCCTGCGAATTGACGAACGTGTGGGGGTTGCAGGAAACAGTTGTTGCATGTGTTTCATCCGACGAATCGCCGCTTGGGTGCGCGGCGCAGAATGAGTGATGAGACACCTCGCTGCAAGCCTTGCTCTCGGCCTTGTCATCGCACGAAGATAGGAGTGGTCGAAGATTTGAGATGAATGAGGAACGTAAGTAGGAAGAGGATGGAAGTAACGAAGTTGATGTCGGTATTAGTGGCTTGGCGACCGCCATGAGCGATAAGATAGAAAGTATAGCAGAGAGTGCACACAGAGCATGCCTTATTTTGCTCTTAATTAGGCTGGTAAACCCTAACGCTAGCCTGATATGTGAGTGTTTGGTGGGTATATCGTGTGTATTGCTATCCATGCTAGATGCTAAGGTACATGAGATGATCGGGGCACGCCCTTTGTAGGCTTAGCCTGCCAAGGCTAGTGGTGTGACATGATATAGCGCGGGGAATGCATACCCTGTCACCTCATAATAGCTAGGGTAGATATCTTCGTCGCCTCATAGTGGATAGGCAACTATCGTTTGAAGACACACTAGAGTTACTCCGAGAAGTCGCAGCTGGCTGTGGTGCTGTTTCAGCCGCAACGATTGTGGCGCCAGCTGAACCAGCGTCAGTCTATCACGACCATAACGCCCTGGACTGTTCGCGCGTCTGTCCTATGTATACCAAAAGGCGCAATTCATACGTATTCCGTATCCTCAGACGATTCTCCCGTAGTTGTCGACTTCCCCCGTCGTCTCCACAATGGTCTTGAACCACGTCCCTATTACCTGGACTGACGAGCAAAGCGCCGATATAGCTCGTAGAAGCAATATACGAGAGTTATTATACACCAACTATTCTGGACCGGTACGAGCATCACAGGCTTCTCTTAACGACTTCCGCGACTGGACCGTGGACCAAGTCGTCGCGCTGTTCCATGACTACCCACCACTACAAGGCCGACGCCTGTATCCCTTGGGACCAGAGTCTCGCTATCCACCGCCAGGAAATCAGCGCTTCTATCAGCTGGCCGGCAAAGTGGCGATAATGGGCATTGCGAACGCATTGGCCTTGGCCACCTCACCCTTGACCATACCACGGCTGTCGAAAGCGCAGCGAAAAGAAGCGATATCAGGGCTTGTAGATGTAAACAAGCAAATGGTCAGCTCGTCCCTCTTCGTCTCCGCCCCTCCGCACTTGATGGAAGAGGCTGGACGACGAAACCAAGCCTTGTGCGTAAACAAGTGGGGACAGTTTAGAATACTCGGTTCATCTTACGCGGCTATCTCGCATGTGTGGGCTGAGACAATGGGCTTGGAGTTCAACGATGAAAAGATTGAGCAGGATGAGCGGGGACTTTTGATGTCGCACTTCAACAAGATCATGAGCAAGGCGCTTCAGTGCGGTCACGAGTGGATATGGTTCGATCTGTTGGCCATCCCCAAAAGGTCGGGTCCCGGCAGTAGCGACTCCCGTTTGACGCAGATCAAAACCCTCATAATCAACAGTCTTCACTCGGTGTATCGCAACGCAGATGCAGTTATTGTGTTGGATTCTTTCGCTCTGAATCTCCCTTCTGGTGATCCTCTGCGGGTCGCTGCAGTTCTAACCTGCGGGATGTGGTTGACACGCATCTGGACTTACCAAGAAGCGAAGCTCGCCAAGCGGGCGCTGATAGTGACTGCTACACATGTAGTCAGCTTCGTAGACATCCTTTCCGCTCTGCAACAGCAAGCTCAAGTCGAACCAAGAAGATGGGATACACTTTGGAAACAATTCGAGAGATTGCAGCCCATCCAAGATATTGGGATTAATCTGGCAGACATTGCACTCTCTTCTACCAATCGCAATACTGAAAATGATGTCGACTACGCGCGCGGCTTCTACGCACTACTGGACCTACAATGGCAGCCGAACTGGACATACGAAGACGGCATCATGCATATCTACAGCTCTCGACCGCAAGAAGTGGCCATGCTAGCTTCCATGCATAGCCTACGTGGTCTCCCACAGCCATTCTCTTGGGCTCCAAGATATCTTGCCCGGGAACAGGGCATAAGCAATGCAGCGTACTTTTATACATTCAATGGCTCTGGCCTTGTCGGTCCGTGGTACACAGCAACTGTTCGAGAGTTAGCTCACACTGCATTCTATGGTGAAGCCGATGCGGAAGCAGAAGAGGACCACAAGTTGGCCTTGCAGCTTCATGTCGACGACATAGGGGGCAAGTCTATATTAGTCTCGGTGGTGACATGGGATGTGAAATGGACTCCCGAGCTGGTCACCTGGGTTAACCTCATACCTACTGGTAACGCAAGGATCATATGCCCAGACGCAATGTCTTCTTACGAGGCGGTCGATTTCCCTTCCGTCTTGCTTGCTATACAAAGACCTAATGTTACCTCATCGCAGGCTCAGCAGGCTTTTGGCGATGTACTCGCTAGCGCGATTTTGGTTGGCGGGCACGTTACAGCACCACAAGTTCAGTGGTTGCTGGCTTGAAACGGGAGAAATCCGCAGAGGTATCAACAAAGATTCGATGTTGGCCTACCGCTCCTGGTGTCATGTGCGCACACGCGCCTACCAGATAGTTCTGACCATGCAGCACATCTCACAAGCCAGCAGCACGTGACGCATTTCCCATCCATCATGTCCACTCCTCCCCATCTCTCACACATCACGCCTTCTCCAAATCCTTACATCTCTTGATACCCGCTCTCGCATTCACCAACCCGTCCTTGAACCCCATCTTCTTGGCCAGACTAGCCGCCTCTTCGTACCTCTGCCGCGCCTCCCCAAGCTTGCCCTCCATTTCGAAAAACTCACCCAAGTTATGTGTCGCAACCGCACAACCCACATCACACTCTTCATTCCGCTCTGGCGCCTTGATGTGGGCTGCTTGTGCTAGTGCGCGCTCGGCCCATTGCCGCGCTTGGTCTATGAGGAGGGCGCGGGGAGCGGAGTTTGAGACGGGGAAGTCGGAGGGTTCGGGGGCCATGGTGATGGCGTCGGTGGTGGAGGGAGGAGTTTGTTGGACGAGGCAGGTGGATATGTTGTTCACTGTGGTGGAATTTGTTAGTATGGAGGAGCGTGGGGGCGTGGTGTACGTACTTAGGACGACGCTGTGGCATGATGTTGGTGGGCAGAGCTGGAGCGCCTTGACGAACAGCGGCGCAGCGAGGTAGTGTGAGTCGAATTGCTCGTAGTGTGTTCCAAGAGCTACAAGACGTTAGCATGCATATACCAAGGCAAACATTGTATCATCATACCTTCTAGCACTCCGCCCATCTCATCGTTGGTCAGCCATGGCCCCTCGCCATTCTTAACACCGTCCCTCTCCCGCCTTTGGTGCTCCTTGAGCGCACTCTCAACAGCCTCGACTAGTCGCTTCTCTCCATTCTCCGGCTCATTGACATATCTCACGTCGTAGAGCTGGCCCAGCTTGAGATTAATCTGCACCATATTCTTCTTCACCCTGCTTCTGTTCCCCGTCGTCCAGTGCTTATCCGAGAACTCGTCGACCCACTTCTGGCAGTCGTTCCGCATAATCTCCAACACGTCGATGGCCAGGCTGTAGTACCCGGCGTCCTCGAACAAGGCAGCGATGGTATATTTCACTCCCATGATCTCGTCGCTAAACGGATCCATGCCCATCTCATCAGCGAGCGCAAGCGCCTGCCGGAAATGCTTGTTCGCCTCGCGAATATCGAGCCATTTCCCGCGGGAATAGAACAAGGCTTTCCGCAGCTTCTTGGCGACGGGCTCGGGGAAGTTGTGGTAGGGTTTGATGATGACGTTTTTGTAGTACCAGGGTATGTAGAAGACGCAGATACCCGCCACGAGCGCGATTGTCGCAATCGCAAAGGGAAACAAGACGGGGCTTTTGTGGTATTGCTCTGAGAACTGCTCGCGCATCGTCGACCGGTAGCGGCGACTCAATTGCTGCTGTATTGGCCGCCGCGGCCATGGCTTAGCGGGCAGTCGTGGTGATGTGCATCGCGTTGTCAGGGGAGCTCGTGCTTCGCAGCGTGCGAGTGTGAATGCGCTCGTTCGGGGCGCCGCTCTTCGGGCTATGGTCGTGCTGAACATTGTGCGCCGGGCAATGGGCAAAAAGACGTGCGAGGTGGCATGCGGCCGCCGCTTGGTGGAGCGAGTGCATGACGGAACGAACTTTTAGTGCCCCACGCGTCGCGTCGAGTTCCGCGTAGGGCTGACCACAAGCCTCATGACGTAGTCAACCATCAACGCGCCGTCGTCGCGTTGCCCTCCCGCAGCCTCGACCTCACGGGCAATGCACAAAGTCGATTTGCCATGTGTGGTCGCTACGTGCTGGCCCTGGTGAGTATGCGTCTTGACACGAGTTCCCATGCGCCATCTGACAAGCTTTCCAGCGGCCTTCTGAGGTCCGCCAGCAGCTCGAGCAGTCGCAGATGCCTGTAGAAGAGGTACCCGACGACGATAGTAACGTGCGCCAAAGCTACAACTTCGCCCCCGGTTACCACGGTCTCGTATACCGAGCAGATGGCCCCGAAACAGGTGACCAGCAGGAAGGTGCGACCGAAGACACAAAGTACAAGCTGCAGTCTATGCAGTGGGGACTCGTACCCTTTTGGACAAAGCGCAACCCAGACTATGGCTCCAAGATGAAGACGATCAACTGCCGCGACGATTCCCTTGTTGAAGATCGCGGCATGTGGACAACCATGAAGAAGAAGAAGCGCTGCATCGTCGTCGCACAGGGCTTCTACGAATGGCTGAAGAAGAACGGGGGCAAAGAGAAGATACCACACTTTACTAAGCGCAAGGACGGTCAGCTCATGTGCTTCGCTGGTTTGTGGGACAGTGTGCAGTTTGAAGACTCTAGCGAGAAGCTCTTTACCTACAGCATCATCACCACCGATTCGAACAAGCAGCTCAGTTTCCTGCACGATCGCATGCCTGTCATATTAGACAATGGATCTGATGCAGTGCGGACCTGGCTCGACCCAAATCGGACGGAATGGAGTAACGAGTTGCAGGAGCTGTTGAAACCGTATGAGGGTGAGCTGGAATGCTACCCGGTCAGCAAAGACGTTGGCAAGGTCGGCAACAACTCGCCCTCTTTCCTCGTACCGATAAACAGCGCTGCGAACAAGAACAACATCGCCAACTTCTTTGGCAATCAACAGAAAGCTGCCGAATCCAAGGCGGCTCATGGAAAGAACATGGTGAAAGTTGAGCACGACGACAATGAGACGCGTGCTACGACTGACCGAGTCGAGACTACCGAAGATAATGCGCCGTTGCCTGTACCTGATACGTGTGAGTCAAAAGGTATCAAGCGAGAGCACGAAGACGAGGGTATGGTCGCTAGTAGCGCGGAAGGCGAGCCGCGATCTAAACGCATCGCGACTGCGTCGCCTACCAAGAGTCTTGCAAAGAAGACTTTAACACCTGCAAAGAAGCAGGGTACCAGGAGCGCCACGAGCAACGGCAGTGCAGCAAAGACATCCAAGACCGATGGGACACGGAAGATTACTGCCTTCTTTGGTGGCAAGTGAGCCCAAGGGGAGTGATGCGATGATCCGTTGATGACTAGTCACATCGCATATATGTCCATGCTCACAGGTCTCTACGAACCACGTACACCGCACAATACCAGGGTCGGGAAGATGAGTTGCTGTACTACCAGGTGTTTCTCCAAGGCCATCTCCTCATCTAACAGACGAAGGGGAGGAATGCGGAAACTAGGCTCGCGTTGGGAGAAGTACGGTTCGAGGCGGTCATCCCGGTATTCACCGGAATCGGCTCAATCAAACGCTGTGACATTCACAAGTGGAAGAACGGTTTCTGGTCGTGCAGATGACACTGGTCACGCCAACAACCATACAGATGGTCAAGGCACAGAAATCGCTCGTCGCATCCGAGATTGCTAGGTAAATGAGGTTCGCCAGGTGTAGGGGTGTAAATATTGGCTCAACCAATTTTTTCTGTTCCTTCATGTCCTAAGAAGATGAGGAGATTCTAAATAAAGATGTTTTAGTAGGTCCTACTATTCCTTGATGAGTTTAGAGGGTTGATCATCGGGTATATCCGCGCTAGGGATCCCTGCGCATGGGCAGAATAGCTCTAGACACACCACGTCCAAGTCGCCTCACTGGCATGAAGCTGTATCAGAAAGGATGTAGGCCCGATCTCGTGTAAGGTAATCCGCTACTATTCACAACCTGTGCCCTGCCACAATGTTGGCTTCTCTTCTTCCATCTTGTGATTTTTGTTGACGGTGATAATGTAACCTCGGAACGTATGGATCTTTTACCTTTATGGATTTCTCTTACCCGGCTTATGCCCAGATTATTGCCAAGAACAGAGAGAACGTAGGGGGCTCAAAGACTGATTTGTCGACATCCGGGGACAGCCGAGTATCAATGAAGGGGTCTTTGTGCTTCGAAAGATTAGAGGTTGTTCTGTAGGGGGCATCATCACCTCAATCACCTTGGATGGAAGAGTATGGTATCATCTATGCCTTGTGCAGTCAATGCAAACATGAAGGAAAGGAAATACAAGGGCTGTAGAGACGAGATCACAAGCGCTAGTCCTCTAACAAGCGCGAGACATGCGAATCGGTGCCTGCAGAAACACATGGGAACCCCTCTCCTACCCAATCATGGTAACGGCCGTAGATGTACATCCGCTCCCTTCCATACTCTTTGCTACTCCTTAGAGTTTCTCTCATGAAACTCTAATAGCAGAACGTAGCAGATGACAGCCCTTATTAACCGGTAGTGCTTACGTGATAGAGAGAGGGGGTCTGTATGCTTCTAACAACGAAGATATAAGAACCTACCACCATTCATACTTGTCCACTCACCATCAGCAACAACGCAAAAAAGCATACAGTTACCAAGCACACTTCACTTGCCCATTCATTCTTATCATCTTTTCCCAAATCCACAAAATTCTTGTTTCCCATTCCCAACTTTTCAAGATGAGGCAGTCCATCATCGTTTCTATCCTCTCCATGGCTATGGCTGTTTCGGCAGTGCCTACAAGCATTGCGCCCACGAACAACGTAAACGTAAACCAATGCAGCGGTGGAAACAACAAACAAGTGTGCTGCAACAACGGATTGCTCGGTCTCCTGACCTGCAGTGTTCAGGTGCCTGGTGGCGCTTGTGATGGCTCGGTGACTTGCTGCAACACCCAGGCTGCAGAAGTAAGTTGTTTCTTTCCTACGCTCGACCCTACACTGCTTATCCCTCTTCCACTTCCGATCATGCGAGCTGGCTCAGTGCTTGGTTCACTTTGCCCAACCAATACTAATATGCATTTGTAACAGGGCGTTTTGATCAATGTGCAACTACTCAACTGTGGCCTCTGATCTGCATTTCTGGTTTTGCCAACCCGTGTAGGGATTCTCAGGAAACGGAGACAGAAGGGGACGGAGGAGGAGGCAAGGTCGGAGATTGTAGGATAAGATACTTGTACAGCTTAATGGATATTCAACATGTCACTATCTTGCGTTTATTTGCAGTTCTCGCATTCACATGTAACACGTATTGTTCATTACTTTCGGTTCATCAACAACTATGAAGGCGCATAGCTTGGCACACTTTGCACGCTAGGCGAGCAATGTTAATTCTTCTCTCAAGCAATCATAGAGCCTGTTTTTTTGCTACTTCGGTCAGTTGAAGGGACTGTAGAAAGTAGGATATTGACTATAAATGTAGTTCAAACATCTAGCTATTAGGTATAGATCATTCCAAGAGTGGGGCCAGTAACATGAGCCTGTCGGTTCGCCGTATAACAAGTCTTCCTATACAGCGGAGCCAGAAGCTGCCAATACCGTTGCTCGTGTTATGCCGCTCGTAGATCACACTTTTCTAGTGCTAAGATAAAATCTTTCTTGTTCTAGCTCTTCCCTATATGTTTCGTCATCTACACTTTCCGCTACACATTAATCTACTCGCACCCTGTGTTGCTGTTACTAAATACAAACTGTACAAGTTTAGTAAGAAACAAGCAATTATTGATCAAAGGATCGATTTTTATAAAGTATCGGTCTTGACAAAAAGAAAGACGCCAAAGTGTTATCAATCGGCCAGTGAACAAAGGGCGAAGAACAGGCTGCGTTTACTTTGCCCAATATCGACATCAAAATAGAGCTAACGTACAGGCATTAGACCCTCATATACTTGACCGTTCTACTGATCGCTAGCCGAACACTTGGACGTTGTCACACAACCCCAGATTGCTTGCGCTTCGCCTGAATCCGCGAATGCTCCCATGGCATCCCCGCCGATATATACTTAAGCCTTGCATAATTCGAGAAGGTTGTTTCGAACACATAAAATGGCTGTATAGCTGTATGGAATTTTTTTAGTATGCAGAGTACGTAAACCTCATGGACAAAGTGCATGGTTCTTACCTAGGTAGTTAAAAAAAGCCCACTAACCTTGGAAAGCAAGACAAGAAGTTGTTCACTAGGAACGAGGATAATGACCGAAGGGTCCTGCGGAATATCGCTTCTGGATACTATTGCTGGTTGATAGTGTTTGTGTATTACATGCAGCGTCTAGACTCGCGCTCGCCAGTATGCGTCAAGTTAAGAGATCTACTTAGACAGTAGGTATACAGGAACATACAACGAGTCATCCATCAGGAAGGAAGGATGGTGTTTTCCAGATAGATGCAATCGAAACGAATCATTTAGCTGGCATTAGTATCCAGGCATAATGTAGCATTTGTAGTTTCTGTAGGAGTATCAGTCTCAATTATCAATCGATAGCAACTACTACCTCCTCATTCAATAAGTATCGGGAGAGCTCTCGCGAGTATAGTGTCACTGTCGAGCCATTCCAGGTTTGCCTATACGTCGTCGGACATGTGTGGATCAAGGCGTGCCGAAGCAATAAGTCTAACAGCTTAGCTGAGATTAACTACAACATGAATGAGGATATTGTTTTGGTGGGTGTGGACCTGGAGCGAAGCAAAGTGCAATGACGGGTTTTTAAACGACACTAGACCTCATGTCGGTCTCTGAGTGTCTCGTAACGTGGCGCTGGGCTGTTTTAATCGTGAAATTAGACATGAAGCGTCTAGTAGTAGGAGGTAAGAAAAGGACATGTCCCTTGCTCAATGTCAGTGTTGTTCATTCCAGGTGCACAATCGTAAAGCCCGGCCTGTGGACTTGTGAGACATAAATGTGATGGCCAGCGAGTAGGACTAAGTTCAAAAGTTCGCAGAAATTGAGAATTCTCTTTTGGCACCAAGTGAGCGATCGCAGAGGTTTCCTGGACCATGCGTCAGTCGAGTATAGTAGTCAATCCTCGTATCTATATGTATCACAGATCATCCACAGCCTTCTATATCATCAAGATCTTAGCTCAACGCACTGTAGAAACCGAGCAAGCAATGTCACTTTCCAGCCAAACAACCATAAACTCGCTGCAGTCAGAGCTGAAGTATCTGTCGTTTCAAACGAACGACTTACGTTCCAGACAACCCACCTATCATCTAGTAGCATAGCATCAACAATGTTTCAACTTCCTCAATACCTAAAGCAGTGTTGTCTAACCTAGCTATAGTACTAATTAGGGCAAAGAGATCCGCGGATGTGTAATCCTAGCTTAGTAGTCTTTGCTTGAAAACGGAGTTTACCACGCTGTAGGATAAGAATAGAGAAGGGAGTCTGAGGTAAAAGAAAGGCCTGCTGCTCGTAGAATGGGCCGAAAGCATAATCAAGTCCATACTGTTGGTTGTGAATGATTATGTTGATAGCGCTTGCTGCCTGCAGCAGAAATGCTGCAACGAGAATAATTTTTGTAAAGATGTGCGTGCTCATAGATTAATATGTTAATGCGGTTTACACGTGGTGACCAATTGGCACATTTGGCGCTGTATCCCTTTCTACACCTGTGATGATGGTCATCTCTATCACTTTACGATGGCTTTTTGACTTCGGCGGCTTAGTACAACGAGTAATGTTAAGCATAAACGCGCTACGTGAAACATTAGCTTATTATAATAAAGAGATGTGGAGTGGAAGGGTATCAAAAGATCTTGAGACACGATGTAGCCGCAGGTAGATATACCAGCCTCAGCGCAATTCACATCGGTGCCGAATTCGAAGATGTCGTTATCAAGCAGAGAAGAAGACGCGCGACGAGAACACAGTGCAGTAACATCAACTGCGACAGTTGTTCGGTGCGTACCGGGACCTTTCCGGCGGGTTGGAAACAGCAGTTGAGGGGTAACGCATGGGTAGCAAAGCTTGTGTTCTGCCCCACATTCTGTATAGTTGATATGTATCATCATTCCACTTGTTCCGAGCACCACATGGTTAGTGCTTAGTTTTTGACTCCACTGCTACATACCGAAAGTATGATAGTGTGAATCAACCACCAAGTATAATATCTCCAGCTTACGTACCCCCTTGCATTCACAATACTCTTCCATTGCATGACTTTTCCTCGCGAGTGCAGCATTAACATGCAATTACCTGACTATTACTGATATGTTCAAGTACTTATTCCTCTGCTACTAGATTTCAAATATTGGGTCAATGGTGGAAGTAGGTGTGCAAGAAGTTACAAGTCTGACAGACGGCTACGTACGTATCTACTTCGCACGGACCCCAATACTTAGCGCGATGTATGCTACAATTTGATATGACAATCACGCCAGTGATTAGTAGATTGTGTTCATATATTGCTCTTATGTCCAAAGTCCGTTTACTCTCGACTTTTCAGTCGATACCAGCGACTTCATTCCTCTTTTGACAGTCCATCACCCACACCTGTTTCCACTGCGAAGAGTATCAATCATGGCGGCCCGCCCCGCTCCTTGGCCCGAATTTCATTTTACCACGCTTCCAAACATTCTTCGCTTGCTAGCGTCACAGTACCCAGATATGACTTATGCTGGGTTCCCGCGCAACCCAAACGACATCTCAGAAGGCTACCGCGAATTCACATATTTGGATGTTGCAAATGCCGTCAATACTTTAGCTTGGTGGATCGACGAAAATGTAGAGAGGCGGGAGGAAGGCAAGAAGAATAGAAAGGAAACGTTGGTATACATTGGACCAAACGACATCCGATATGCGGTACTGTGCCTCGCGAGTATAGTCACTGGGTACAAAGTAAGTCGTGTTCTCTTATTCAAGATTTCCAGATGAAGAAACAAATGGGTTCGTGTGGCTGGCGCTGACAAGTACTGAAAGATGCTTTTCCCGTCGCCACGATATGGCATTGAAGCTCTATTGAAATTAGTCGAAGCCGTGGATGCGAAAGCTATGCTAACTCCCGAGACGCCACTACCCATCGTGAGCGAGATTTTGGAGAAGAAAGAAATGAAAAGCTATCGCATACCAAGTATTGAACAATGTTTCGCCAGAAGCGTGGATGAGTATCCGTTTGCGAAGACGTTCGAGGAGTGCAAAGATGAGGAGATGTTGTGTTTGCGTAAGTCGGCCTGACCCTCTTCCTTTCCAATTTCCGTCCCCAAACAAAAGTGCTCATTGGAGAGAAGTCACAACCAACAACAGAAAATAGATACGTCTGGCACAACCGGGTTTCCCAAACCAATTCCTTATACACACGATTGGGTAAGCAGCTTTTCACGCACCACCCGTCTACGCGCCACTCGTGGTTTCAGACGTTCAGACGATGATTTATATAATGCGAGTCGAGGAACCCGAGTATTCGCCGCCTTACCTCCATTTCATGCTAGCGGCGTCACACTCATGATATTGTTACCTCTTCTCGTCGGCGTGACGCCCATCTATCCACCCGCATACACGACGCCAGAGGGAGCTGTAGATGCCACTCTCTCAGGTCTAGACGTGCTATATGCGGCTCAACAGAGGCATGTTGCAAACAGTGATGCGGCGAAAGAAAAAGTCGAAAGGGTAGTAGACATGGTAGTGATGGTACCACCCTGCGTCGAAAATGTATTCGGACACCCTGAGAAACTGCACAGGTTGAGCCAGCGTGCACATGGTTTGTGCTACGGCGGGGGCAGCATAGCCCGTGAAGCCGGTGACGCAATCTCACACAAGATGAAACTCCTCAACGCGATTGCATCTACGGAACTGGGTCTGTGGCCGCTTATCCGCCCACGCAGTATCGACTACAACACCAACCCCACAGACCAAGAACAGGAAAAGAAAGAAGACTTTTCAGATGGAAAATGGGAGTATTACGCCTTCCACCCCGCATTTAACATCCACTTCGACCCTGTCTACACCTCGGAATCAGGTCACACCGTCTTCGAAGCCATCATGAAGCGCAACAATGGGAAAGATTGGGATGGCTACGTCCAATCCTGGTTTAAACTCTACCCAGACAGCAGCGAGAAGCGACTCGGCGATCTCTTTATCCAGCATCCCTCCGACACCACATTATATAAACACTACGGTCGCGCAGACGATCTTCTAGTCTTCCTTACGAACGAAAAGTTCTATCCTACCGTGGCAGAGCAGCGCATTGCAGGGTTCCCGGAGGTGGCTGAGGCGCTGCTGGTAGGTACGCGCAGACCGAAAGCGGCGCTTGTGTTGAGATTGGAAGATGGTGGGGTAGTGGATGATGCGCTATGGGGGAAGATTGAAGAAGTCAATGGAAGCTCGCCGGTCTACGCGAGGGTGCAGAGAAACATGGTACTTCTGGTTCATGAACCCTTTTTGAGAACCGCGAAGGGAAGTGTAAAGAAAGTTGATATGGCTAGGACGTATGAGAGGGAGTTGGATTCTTTGTACAGAAGGGGATGTTCGGAAGAGGCGGAAGAGAAAAGGTGAGACGGTGTGAAGCATACATTTGATCCAGTGAAAAGGTGTTTATAACGAAAAATCTGCTTCTCTTGGTTTGAACTTCCTCAGACTATATATACTACTCCAGGTCAATAGGGCCACCTTTTTCACTCATCCGATCGTGCTAGTGTATCCTGATTCTATTTCCTAGAACTGTACCAAAACAGCTATTAAGACGGCGCGTTTTGGTTTACTGGTGTACGCCACTACCGATATTAGCATGTGAAATTGGCTTGCATGGATACATCCCTACCGACTGGCCTCTATCTGCCTGTCATTCTCAAAGGCTCTCCAAGACCATTGCCAGCCCCTTGACTAGACTCATGGGTGCCATGAGTGTGATCCCTCCACTCAGGCTCCCCTGTGTCCATTCCTGGAGAAAGCTTAGCCGTCTCTTTGCGTCTTTTGCGAAGGACCCAGGCAAGCCAGAAGATAAGACCAAAGATTACTGCTCCGCCTACAGCTGCGCCGACGCCTATGCCTGCTTTGGCCCCTGTAGTCAGGCCACTCGTTGGGGCTGCCGTTGGGCTCGTTCCCGGCGTTGGAAGAAGAGAACCAGGAGTCAACATTATGCTAGTCACTGACGAGCTCGTCACTTCAGGAAATGAGCTTGACAACGTGGTTGATGTAGGAAACGGTGTTGTTGTCGTAAGCGGCGGCAATGTTGCGGTCAGTGTCGTCAGGTCATTGCAGGTACAGTCGGGATCACAGACTATCACCATATCGGGGTCTGCACAACATCTATCGACCTTTTCAGTACATCTCAAGCTTCGTAAATTCTCCAGCAGCCACTGTCCTAGTGCTTTCGGTCCAGGTTTCGTAACCAGCGGGTAGAACTTACGCTGGGGCACCATCCCATACAAGTGGATATCCATGTTCCCACGCTAAAGGACAGTTTCGATCTTCGCAATTGCTGGCATAAGAGGTGTTCTGGTAGCCTGCAGGTTGACCAACGTTGCTGTCTAGGCCATAACAGTGACCCCCTTTGGTATCCTGGCATGTGGCATATGCACATATTTTCTTGACTTCATCGCAACTCGTTCTGTTTTCTCGCGCGAGCGTGAGCCCACTGATACAATCTGCCATCACGGAGAACCGAGTTGCGGAAACCCTGATTACGCAGAGGGATGATCGATTTCTTGGACGGTCTTATCAAATTCAAGATATGTAATAGATGGGGAGGTTCGAGAAAGAGGAACAAGAAGGCTGACCTTAGAGTTGGAGAGTCGGAGGAACAACAGAAATGTGATTTAGGAAGGCGTCGATCGTTACGCGCTTAGTAGCGATCAAAGTTAGGTGAAACAACCCAATAGCAGATCGACCTCGAACAAGAATGTTGGATATGGTGTAACAGTAAGACTGCTTAACCACATGCGGTCTATTTTTAATGAACTGGCTTATCAATGCAGGCTGGTACTGGTGGCATAGCCTCGAGTGAGCGTCATGCTCAAGGCTGAGTCTACGCACCGACAGACAAGGCTGAGGATCCCAACTGGCGCAGCTATCTCTTCCGCGCTCGTTGTTGCCGTAATACGATAAATTCCGGCAATAACTTTCGCGCATGCACGAAGTTAGCTGTGTTTCCCGCGCTCAAGCTAGGGAGTTAAGTCAGGCATGACGACTATCTTTCCAAAGCTGAGTGATGTAGTACACGAGAGCTGCACGACTGCGAGCATGTGTGAACACAAATAAAGTAGATTCCCCACACGTGTTGATAACGGCACACATCAGTAGTAACGCAGATTGCTCTCACAGCCTAGTAGCTTGTTGAAGCGACCCGCTGGCTGTGGTACATGACATAGCTGCCATTATGCGTGCCATGCATTCGACACAGCCGCAGCCTGGCCGAGTGCAGCCATCCAATATCGTCATACATGTGTCTGATACATAGTCTCATTTCCAATTGAGGTGCCCTCAATCGTTACAAGCCAAACTCCAGGATGACGTGATCACTGGTGCCTTGATTACACCGATGAGTCTTTCCTTCCGCTTCGCCCTTCAAAGTCTGCTCCATCAAAAAGCTCATTTGAACATCACTCAACAACTGACAGCGCTGCAGCTCGATGAGATCGCTCAAATGGCAATGAAAGCACATGACCATATCGTCGCGCAATGTCTGCTTCCGACTCAGCGCGCTCGTGCTGAAATTGCTCGTCGTCGTGGCCCCAGTACCTGTCCGCAGCACCGAAGGCGTGCGCAGCTCTGGTAAAAGTATGACCGCGAAGCCAGATATCAGCCATTTCCCCTCAGAATCGAAGCGGAGGATGAAGGCGTTGTTCGTGTCGGTAACGCCGGAGAACACGCAGATCCAGTCATTTGGTCCTATCTCATATGATCCAGGGCCACCTCCGCAAGCAAGTCCAGTGATGCCGTTTGTGCCTACAAAGGATGTGTAGCGTGCGTGTCGTTGGTCGGTGTTTCGCCGAGCCAGCTTAGTCCTAGCATTCATGTATAGTGCCGCAGCGTCATCTGTTATACTTCGAGAGATGATATTGCGTACGACTTTATTACCACCATCGCCAGGCCGTGGACTGGTAGTGGCCGCCCGCCCTGGCTCCTCAACTGCTCGGGAGAGACCGTCGATCACCCGATCCGCGGAAGCTTCGATCATCGCTTGTCGCACTTTCTCCGTTGGACCAGGGTTACCATACGCTACATGAGGGTCGGCGAAGCTGAGTAATTGTGGCGTCCCTTCTCTGAGGACATATTCCCCAAGATCCTGGATATCTTGGGGTGAGAAGGATCTTGGGTGCATGTTCGATCTGATCGTTGTCCAGCCTCCCGCCTTCCAAGATCCGGGCTGGAAAGCCTCGTCATGATCTACAAATTCACCAATATCAGTGATCGCACTGACGAACGAAATGGATGCTGTGATGCAGGGTGTGGCAGCCAGGACATAGAGATGTGGCTGGAGATCTGGACACAGGTTCAGGATGTGCTGTGCGAGAGTCTCGCGTGAGACAGATAACGCTTGCATGAGAAAGGCCAGGAAACGATAGTCATCCGAATCTCCTCTTCTAGCATCTTCGTGACATTGGTTGCGAAGAACATCGACCAGAAGCTCAACGGGTTGTTTGTTGTAATCCGGCACAATCTTCTCCCCGCGACCAGTAGATGCAACTCCCAGAAATCCGTAGACCCTGTCATACACTACAGAGCTTTCCGAGGTTGCAAAGTCTTGTAGGAGATCGCGCAGGCGAAACGTCGATTTCAAAGTCTTGCTGTTACGGCGACCCAGTACCTCTCTTCTGTAGTGCTTCGTGCGTTTAAAGTCCTTCCGGTGTTTAAACAGTTTGTAGCCACGACTTGTATAGATCAGGTTTGTCGGGGAGGCCACTGGCGTTGATGTGAGGCCATTGCGCCAGATGGTTTCGACAGTCGCAGCATCTACCTGGAGGTCGCCACACCAAATGTCGACAGATTGCGCCAAAACGAACTCCTGAACGACCCAGACCCGACTCCAATAGGGCTTATTGAGCACATCTGCCAGAGCAGTATGGAACTCTTCGACTCTGAGTAGATCTGGATGGCGCGCAAGCATGAAAGCCAACTCTTCAGATCCCCGGGGAAGGCCGAGCCATACGATAACAGACTTCGCTCCAGTGTATACATCCCGCATAAGCGAAACTTGGTGGTTGCGTTCCGGTATGTTATCTTGGTCAATCGCTATGGCATCAATCCATAAGGGTAGGGCTGCCGGTGGATCTTTCTCACAACACTGTCGGAGATACTGCTTCCTACGGTACTGCTGTATGAAGTTCCACAAACCCATCCCCACAGGAAACCTGGATCCTTGGATGTTAATATATTTCTTCTCACCATCTTTTGGGTCCCACGTGTAGGAAAGCGCGATAAAGGCAGGGTTGTAGTCCAGGTCGGAAAGAGATAATGTTGCCTGTATAGGCTCATAATCTGGTGCTGGCAAGATCTCTAGAAGCCTGACACATTTCTTCGTTGGATCTAGGGAGGCATACTGTAGTAGGGGTAGCGCTCCCAGTGGGTCATCCTGGTCGGGTGTTGCCGGTGGGCTAGTGGGCGCGGTGCTCCTGCGCCTTAACTTCTGTAGCTGAAATGGTCGAACGAAAGTCTTTTTCAATATGCTCTGCGTTGACCAGTCAGGCGCAGCCATGATGCCGTAGACTGCACAAGTGCGACGATGTAGTGACAAAAGACTCGGTGAAGCGCATCAGTAGTAAGGCTGAGACGGAGGGAGAACGCGGCGCAAGGAAACGTGTTTTGTCCAAGCCATCGTTAAAAGTCGCACCCTTCACTGTGACTCGCCCAACGAGAAGGCAATAGGCGATGTGTAGCGAATAAGCGATGATGTGGCTTGCGAACTGGTGGTCAGATGATGGGTGTCTGAAGCCAGAAGTTCGTCCTTCGAACGGGGACGAGATTATTCGGCTGCCTGGGTGACTAACCGTGGGGGCCAAAAGCCACTTTTGCCACCAAAACTCCTTTCCTACTATGACATCATCTGCTCGCAGTGTACCCAATCAACTTGAAATATGTCGCCGTTGTGAGTATGGCTTAATTACCATCTGCAAGGCTTCTTGTACGAACCTGCTGCGATGAGCGGTCGCCGTGGGCGGAATGTATTCCGAACCCATGATTCCGCCTCGGTAACACCGTTACATTCGCGCATCGCCCATCTGACCAAATTCTGTCTTCAATATTATCGCGATGTATACCTACAATCATAGTCTCGCCAATATCGACAGTCTGCTCTCAGAAGCAACTCGACACAACATCGAGCATACACTCGACCCTACCATTCGGGACAATAAAGCCAATACTAACTGGTCGCCCGCGCCCCCAGAACACACGCCTTTAGTCGTCTTTTTCCCTCATACTACGCATGAAACGTCAGTCATTCTAAAAGCATGCAATGATAAATGCATAGCCGTGACACCCTTTTCCGGCGGTACGAGCTTCGGCGGCGCGCTTGCTGCTACCAAGGGAGGGGTGTGTATAAGCTTCGAGCGCATGAAGAGCATCATCGCAGTCCATGAAGATGATTTGGATGTTGTTGTACAGCCTGGCTTAGGATGGGTGGAATTGAATGAGAGTTTGAAAGACAAAGGATTATTCTTTCCTGTTGATCCTGCGCCGGGAGCCAAGATAGGAGGCATGGTATGTTCTAGTGTCGTTGTTTGATACGCTATCTTCTTCTATGAATTCACCGGGATGAGCTAGAAGATTCGTTAACCGAAAAGAAGATAGCAATGTCTTGCTCCGGAACGAACGCCTACCACTACGGCACTATGAAAGAGAACGTCATATCTCTCACTTGCGTACTTCCCTCCGGCAGCATCGTAAAAACGCATAACCGACCCCGGAAGTCGTCCGCTGGATATGACCTCACGCATCTTCTTATCGGATCAGAAGGTACGCTTGCGCTGGTGACGGAAGTTGTGCTGCGTCTCTCGCCCCTGCCGCGGAACCTTTACGTCGGACTAGCAAACTTCAGTACATTTCAAGAAGGCATTCGGGTCGTTGTCTCCCTGCAGAAATTAGGTCATCGACTTGAAGCGCTGGAGTTGGCCGACGGACCAACGATGCAAAGTGTCAATGTCTCAGGGCTGGCACCACAACGGACATTCAGAGAGGTGCCAACACTATTCTTCAAGGTTGCAGGTCCATCAAGGCACATCGTACAAGAGCAAATTTCAACGATGAAAGAGCTGTGTCAAGCGCAAGGCGCCTCTAGTGTCGAGATCACACAACAAGAAGATGAGATGGATATCATCTGGGGAGCGCGCAAATGCATGGGCACAGCTCTTCTCGCCATGAAGAAGAACTCCAAAGATATCTTCTTGCATAGTGACTGCGCAGTGCCAATATCCAACCTTGCAAGCCTCGTCGCTGGAACGCAGGAGCTTATCGCCCAGGCTTCAGCTGCCCATCAAGCATCTTGGTTCTGTGCCAACGTGGGTCACATCGGTGATGGCAATGTTCACTCTAGCATCGTTTGTCCACAGGAACACTACGACGTTGCGATGAGTGCGATCATGGAGATAGCCAGGCTGGCGCTAAGCTTAGAAGGAACAGTCACAGGAGAGCATGGCATTGGGCTTAAGTTGAGGGAAGCGTTGGCGGAAGAGGTAGGGGATGATGGTGTGACTATGATGAGAAGTATCAAGAGTGCGTTGGATCCGAAGGGGGTCTTGAATCCTGACAAGGTATTCAAGATAGAGAAGGAAGGGAGCGCGCCGAAGCTTTGAGTCTTCCTGCTGGAGAGAGATGAAACAGTATGGCTAAGTGGTGAATACATCAATTTTGGACAAGGCTTTCTCCATATGCCGTAATTAAGTCGTGCTTACAGCTTTGCCATATCCTTGGGACTACCAGTAGCGCCAACTGTCTTCAGCGCATTCCACAGCTTTAACCCCTCATCTAGTCTTGTATCTTCTTCGATAGCGACGTTTCCATCACTCTTCAATGTCCTCAGTTGCATTGCATGCTGCGTACCCCATTCCATCTTTTCGCCTTTGAGAAACCGGCTCAACGGTTCGTGGAATGTCTTCAATGCGATGTTCTTCTCTCCTTCACTCAGGTCGTTGCCGTTGCCCCAGAACCATATCGCCATGTCGGAGCCGTGACTAGCACCAAAGTACTCAGGCAGCTCTTTGTCAACACAATGCGCGCGCCACTCGATACGATATCTATGTATGAGATCTCCTGCGCCATGCTTTACCAACGCATTTACCATCCCACGCCGCAATGCGTGAATCTGCACGTCTGCGTAGATATGTCCGAAAACTGCCTGCCAGCTCTTGTATTTGGATGGCAGCTTGCGATTGGGGAAATAATGCGACATCAACACCTTACAAGCTTCGCGAGGATAGTCCGCTTCAAGTCGGTATAACATGTTTTCATACCCTGGTTTAGGAGGTCGCCAAAGGCCGTAGACGAAATGCTCATCGCTGCATTCCCCGATGATGAGCTTCACATTGCGACGCTTCATACGCTTCGCATAGACCCCGTTCGACAGCTCTTCCAGAAGACCATGCCGCACAAACGACCCATCTGTGACTGCACGGAATTGGTGATGCTTGATCTTGTTGCTTGCTTCTACAACCTGCCTTGGGCTCATTGCGCGGAGTCTCGCCAGTTTGTCAGCTGGCGACGCGTCTGACTCGATATTCAAAGCCTTCAATAGCTCGTCAAACTGAACCTGCGCCTCAGTCAAACTCTTTGGCTGCATACCTGGACCGTTCGACAGCATTAACGCTCTCTTTACGACTGTCTTCTCATCGGGCAATCCGAGATCATACGACAGCTGATGAAAGACGGAGTGGCTCCCTGCCGAATCCCCGCCGATAGTGATATTTGAGGCGTTACCGCCAAAGTAGCTGATATTCTCGTACGTCCACTGCAAGGCCATGCGCTGATCCCAGAAGCCGAGATTGACGCCAAAATCCGGGCATGAGTCGACAACATTCTGGGAAGCGAGAAACCCGAATACATTCAGACGGTAGGCGGGAGCGACGACGATGCATTGGGTAGGGGATTCACTAAATAGCGCACGGAGGTCGAGACCGTTCGGGCTACCCCATTGCAGGAACCCGCCATCTAGTGATGTTTAGCGTTGATCTACCACGTGGTTGAGAACTTAATATTCCGCCACATTGTACGCCGAAGATGAACCAGAAAGTTGTTTGCCGTGAAACGGCGATGCCAAGCACTAAAAGGGTGACGGAGCTGAAAACGACTACTTACGAATCCAGAATAGTACCGGCCAACCTCCCCGAGTCAGCAATCATTGATCGAGCTGAATGAAGTCAGGGACATACCTTCCGCTGGCGATTGACCAGCTGGAATCCAAATGTTGGTCTGTAAACAGTCTTCATCCCATGTAGGTTCGTTAAGAACTTCCGTACTGGACCCTGGCTGTGGACAAAGCCCGCATCCGCCTGTATATCGCCCCGGGTTCGCTTTCGTTCCGTAGCGATAGCATGGTGGTAGTGAGCGTGGCTTCTGGAAGCGAAAGGGGCCAACAGGTGGGAGAGCGTATGGAACGCCTCCGAAATAGTGGCACTGTGCTTGGCTGTCGCTATCAACGTAGGTGAGGCCTTCCACGAAGCCACGGAACTGGAGATCACGATGATGTGGTTTGGATGGCTTCGACATGTTGATGAAGGAGGTTGCGCCAAGGTCAAGGTGGTGCGGATTAGGCTTGTTGATCAATGATCGATGTACCTCGGCTAGACGGGATGCCCCTGTTGCCGATCATCAAATGAAGATCATCATCGCGCGAACATGTCCGTTCACCATCGGTAAAGAACCACCCATTCTTATTGCGTAACGGTGCAGCAGTGTATCAACGGCATAAGCGGTTGGGCGCTTCTTCAAGTCATTAATTCATTATCATTATTGTTTACGCTCGTGTATGACGAAGCGTTTAAGCCCAGTCGTGATGCCGCCGCGACGCTATGCTCTTACTATCAGCCGTCACTTCCACGTGCGTGGTCTTCATAATGGTGATCGGCTGATCAGAACCCTTCCTCTCGCTGACGACCTCACTGTCTGGTAGTATGCCAAGCTCACTATCATCATCCGTATCATGCTTCCGCTTCGATGACTTCCCACTCATCTGAGGGCCGGTGTTTTGGAGTGCGTAACTTTGCCTTGATCCCTTCCCAGATCCTCCAGTGATACTGGTAGGAAGAACCTTGCGGAGGAGGTTCTCAAACGTCTTGCGGAGCGGTGGAAGACACGCTGTGAAAACGCCAACGAAGACTTCGGCAATCGCGAAAACGCTGAGATTGACGGACGAATAGGTAGGGTCTGGTGATTCGTTCAAGGATTTCATCTCGTAGAGTTTCATCGCGGAGATGGTGGTTGTACTGGAGAACGTTAATGATGCATGTAAGAGGCGCAACGAAGAGAACACTTACACAAGACCACACAAGAACACTGCGCGAACACCCCAGATGGTTCGCTTGGGAAGCTGCACCCTCGCAATATAGATGAGCGGGGACATGGTGTAGAGCAAGTCCGTCAATATGTTGACTGCAGCGCCAGAGTATCCAGATATAACTCGTGGTGTCGCACTCCAGCAAGAACCAGGTTTGGTTCCAGCGACATCCCAATGCTTCGTGTATGGTGTGCATTCGCCGAAAAGAATGACTGTAGGAAAGACAACGTTGACGAGGACATGGATCACGACTGAAGCCCAGATGATGATCCGAAATGTTCTCGAGAAGTCCAACATGAAGATGTAGGCGCAAACACTCAGCTTGACCAAGGCCATTCCGTACAGATTGAGCAGCTGACCCAGCCATAGGTAGTAAAGATATGTTTCCAGGTTCCGAGGCGTCAACATGGGATCCCAGATATGTCTACCACCCCCGACTTCTGCCATCCTGTAGCAGCATGCCGCACCGGCTACGGCTATGACCTGAAGATTGTTTAGTATAATCCCTAATACCCTTGCTTGATTACTGCCTTACCTGTCCCGTCCATAATAGATGGTCTGTCAATAGGAAGAAGTTCCTATTCCTCCAATTAATGCCCAAGCGGAGCAAGACGAACACCGAGCTGAATATGATCAATGTGATGATGGGTATCTTGAGCGCATTGGACCGATCGTCCAAAGGAAGTCCTTCCGGGGTTGTTGGCACACCCATGGCGGGTGCGAGAATGCAAAAGAACGAGGCAAGGAAAGACGAAGAGTCCAATGGAGAGGGATGGGCGGGGGGTACTCCTCGGACTGAGCTCCTGACGATCTCCCACGTTGTAATGTTATGCAGGTTCTTGTATATAGTACGGGACGGGTGGACGTGCTGTTATATTTGCTCTGTTAATATCCTCCGGATGGCCAGCCAAATACAGCGGAGTGGCCGACCGATGTCGAACTCAGCCAATCCCGCAAAACGCAACGAGACATGCAGGAGGCGTCTAAAGCCTACCCACACGACAGTGCGCTGCGCACGAGCGCACATATAGCGGCAGGCCGTTAGTCAGAATGCGTTCCTGCTAAGGCACCATAGTCCAGATCGCCAGTGATCATCTTGCAGGAGGCTGCCGAGCCGCAAGGCTCTGTAGATCAAACGAATCCACTTTCCTGTTTCTCGGGGCTTGGAAACCATACTTCGACGATCGGGAGAGTTGCCATGGCCACTTGCGATTTGAGATTCTAGAAACGAACCCAACCAAACTATCGCATTACTGCTAATCCAGATTCCCGGCATTAAACCCATCGTAAGATATGGCCAAAGCGAGAAGCACGACATCTGTCACTCGGTTAGCCGTCGTGGGATGGACTAAAGTGATGTGGTTCGCGCCGTTGCACGAGGTTTTAGCCTAGGCCGGCGTGGATATCTGGCCCTCAGCTTCGAAACGGCCTTGTCGCGTATTGTGGCTGCCGTCCGTAGCCATCGCGGCGCAGTCAATCAGCACGCAAAATATGCTGAGATCTATTGTGTTTCAAGGCAGAATGTACTCCCCACACGATCTTTCTGAATCACAAAATTCGACAGGCAGATTCCCCTGGACAAGATGTTACCAATATCCAAAAGGCGGGCCGAGCGGGTATAACAGGCGCCGGCTCTGTTACTCGCTCTTCGGTACCGCAATGATTCTAGTAATTTCGCAACTGAGCAGGGTGCTACGCGACGGTTGCTGTGCAAAGGAGGTTAAAGAAGTTGGCAGCTTTGAACCGTCGTCAGGCTAGGGTTCAGGTGGGGAGACGAGCTATACCCGTTCAGGCCACCTCCGTACGCCATCGATGATCTAGACAATTGACCTTCTGTTGCAAACTTAAACACTCGTACACCAAAGTCAAATATCGATCTAACGACGACTTGGTCGAGCGCGAGAGGAAGGTGACGACGTTGGAGATTTTCACCGAAGCACGGCTCGTTCAGGTTGACAGCCGTGGCCCCTGCATTCCCGTGGTTGCTTCGCCAGCACAACACCGTCGGTCTCGCCCTCTCTACCATGTGGACCACACGACAAAGCAGTGCACCATGCAGGGTAAACCTTCCTCACAATTACAGTTGCGTGGCGCACGTCACACGATCACGCACGTGGGTGTTGCAGACGGGAGCTGATAGTCGGCGCCACAGCAGCCATGCTTCCTTGATGTCGCTGCCCGCAGCTCTAGGGCTGTCGATAAGCGTTCTTTGTGACAGGATCATAAGCCATACCGCTATCGGTCAACTACCAAAATATGCTTTCCACCAAGGTTTGGGGATCTCAGCTTTTGTTTCCGTGCGGC